GAGTCCCTACTCAGTACATAAAGAATCCTCGTGAGCTGTATAAAAATTTCACAACCAAGATATATCACCATTCTACAACGATATTAACATTGACGTCAAAAGAGGGGTTAGGCACGGCGACACCATCTCGCCAAAATTATTTACGGCCACCCTCCAGAACGTCATGCGACCATTGGAATGGGATAACATGGGAGTGGAAATCGATGGTCGGCAGTTACATCATCTTCGCCTTGCTGATGACACCGTCCCTATAAGAGCAAACATAGGCCAAACGAAACGTATGCTTGTCGACTTTTTTAAAGCCTGTGGAAAGATTCGTCTTCGACTAAATCTCACAGAAACGATGCTCATGATGAACGGATTGGTTTCGTATTCCCCATTCAAGCTCAACGGAACGAATACCTCTTAATGCTCCAGTTATGTCTATCTAGGTTGGGAAATCAATATTATGAGCGACATAGCTCCAGAGTTGAGCAGAAGGAAAGGAGCAGCTTGGGGAGCTTTTAAGAGCATCGAGGATGTAGTGCAATGAGCACCTGACTCTGAACTCAGCTCTTCGACTCAACGGTACTTCCTCCCCTGACGTGTGCGCCAGAAACTTGGTCGCCGCGTAAGCAGGATGAAAGATCACTGAACAGTCACTAATCTTGTCCATCGGTTGTCACTCACACGCACTACGTCTCCGGCCCACCTTATCTTCGATTGTTTGGCGTACAAAACGGCATCTTTGATTTTTGATCGTTGACGCAGGTCGGAGCTTCGGATCCCATCCCTTACTTGTGTGAAACGGGATAATCCTAGCATCGTCTTTTCGACTGCGCGTTCGACAATGCTGAGTGATCTTTCATCCTGCTTACGTGGTGACCAAGTTTCTGGCGCACACGTTAGGGCAGGAGTACCGTTGAGTTGAAGAGCTGAGTTCGGAGTCGGGTGCTCATTGTTTTCTTCACTACATCCTCGATGCTCTTAAAAGCTCCCCAAGCCGCTCGTTTCCTTCTGCTCAACTCTGGAGCTATGTCGCTCATAATATTGATTTCCCAACCTAGATAGACATAACTGGAGCATTAAGAGGTATTCGTTCCGTTGAGCTTGAATGGGGAATACGAAACCAATCCGTTCATCATGAGCATCGTTTCTGTGAGATTTAGTCGAAGACGAATCTTTCCACAGGCTTTAAAAAAGTCGACAAGCATACGTTTCGTTTGGCCTATGTTTGCTCTTATAGGGACGGTGTCATCAGCAAGGCGAAGATGATGTAACTGCCGACCATCGATTTCCACTCCCATGTTATCCCATTCCAATGGTCGCATGACGTTCTGGAGGGTGGCCGTAAATAATTTTGGCGAGATGGTGTCGCCGTGCCTAACCCCTCTTTTGACGTCAATGTTAATATCGTTGTAGAATGGTGATATATCTTGGTTGTGAAATTTTTATACAGCTCACGAGGATTCTTTATGTACTGAGTAGGGACTCCTTGACTATGAAGCGCTTCCAGAACTGCTCCTATCTCCATTGAATCAAAGGTCATCTGTACATCAATGAAAGTGAAACAGAGCGATCTTTTCTACTCTCGCGATGCCTCAATGAGTCTTGTTATCGTGTGGATGTGATCCATCGTACTAAATCCTTTTCGAAACCATGCTCGATCGCATGGCTGTCCTTCGTCCAGTGTTCTGTCAATCCTGTTTAGGATGACTCGAATGAAAAGTTTGTAGACGACAGACAGCAAGCAGATTGGGCAGTAGTTGCCGATATCGTGTAGGTCATCCTTCTTGAACAATAACACGGTCTTGCTGGTCTTTCACTAAGGGACCTTGCATTCAGACAGGTGACGTGTGAACAGCCTAACCAGTGTGTTTACGAGGACTGGCGGAAGGTTCTTCAGGTGTTCTGGTCCTTTCCTGTCCGGGCCTAGTGCTGCTCGATTTTTCACTGACGAAGTGGCATGTCGGATTTCGGAAGGGAGAACCGGTGGTACAACAAATCCATCCTCCTTTATTTCATATAACGGAAGGTGGAGGTGGCTATCGAAGAGATCTGAGTAGTCTTCGTAAATGATTTCCTCCATTGCCTTTCTGAACGCTTTAACTGTTCCGTCTGGGTGTCGGATTGCAATCATTTCGGTCTTGTAATTGGCGAAGCTTCGGTGGGCTTCGTGAATGCTTTTCCCAGCCTCTGCAGTTTCAGTCGTTACTGCTCCTCTTCTCTCCTTAAGATCTTCTTTTATCGCCTCTCTGCATTGTTTTGCAAGTTCGGACGTTAGTTCGCGGTTGCCTGCAGGTCGGGCGGTTCCGCACTGGGGTATCAGCTCGAGTGTTTCTGGAGACAGACGTCTCTTGGTGACTTCCGAACTCTCACCTTTCATAGCACTAACGTGAAGATGTTGAATGAGCCGATCGTATTCTTCGTCGATGTTACCGACAACGGCATCTTCCCAGCAGTCGACTAATGAATTGAATAAATCCCAGTTTACGGTGATTCTGGGACTTCGGTTTTGGAATTTAGCGGCTTTTTCTCCTTTCCGCGAGAAATAGAATCTTGCACGAAAGAAACGGTGGTCTGATCCCATGTAGATTTTGGGGTAACAGCGACATGGGTTAGGCAAAACTTTCTGTCTACTATGATGTGGTTTATTTCGTTGCTGTGCTCTCCATTGGGAGGCTCCCATATCCAGCGTTGAGGGAGGGGCTTCTGAAATTGCGTGTTACCATGGATAGTCTTGGTCGCCGTGATAAACGCTCGCCCTGTTCGTTCCATTCCAATCCGTGGGTCTCATTGTGACGTCCTTCAGACGCTCTTCTCGGTCCAATCTTGGCGTTGAAACCTCTAATGATGACCTTGAAGAATGTATGGCCTTTTCTGCAGAATTTCTCCTAGTCCATATAGAACGCTTCGATTTCTTCTTCGTCATAGTTTGATGTCGGCCCGTAAACGATGGAAACGACGCGCATGCGTTAGAAGCCTCGTCGCTACGTAAGAGGGGTGAAAGCTCTCTCAGCGTTATTGAATGCGCAGACGAAAGGACGGTGTTAGGATTATCCCGTATCACACAAATACGAGAGGGGTCCCAATCCGACCTGTGTCAACGATCAAAAATCAAAGATGCCGTTCTGTACGCCAAACAGTCGAAGATAAGGTGGGCCGGATACGTAATGCGTATTAACGACAACCGATGGACAAAAGCCGTTAGTGAGTGGATTCTGTGAGATGTTAAACGAACTGCAGGAAGACCGCCGACCCAATGATCGGAGTTCTTCACCAAAAGCCTAGAATAAAGGTATGATATTCAACGAGTTCCTAGAGCAAGCAGAACCCGCTGGGTTACTCTTGCGCGTGACAAGGAAAAGTGGAAGATTTACTGGTGCCCACTCGAGTCACTGGACGATTATCGGGACTACAGGTGATACGCGACGCGTGATAATAGACTGGCAGAATATCTGGCCTTTGCAATCACTAGCGATGGCCTACCGATGTATCAAGTCAGTGCTGCTATCCTCCCAGACATGGCTAGTACCAATTTGCCGATTCCTGAGTAATAGCAGGCTTGGTGAGCCTAGGGCGCACATAGGTTGCATTGTGGTAGTGATGCCGGTTATCACATCACGAGCACGGTGCTTGTTCGACCTCGCCCCCGATTCACCTTGCCTCTTACCCCTTCAGTGTCTTGAATTTGGTGCTGGACATCTCCAAAAAAAGACGCTGTCTGCAAACCAAGTGGTAACGTTCTAATCCGGGTTTACCAGGTCTCCATGGCAGCATTCAACGACATTCGTGATGGAATGAAGTTGGGAAACTTTAGTGGGTAATGGATGTGAGGAAAGAAATCGAATGTGAGCAGTGCTAGGATACACATAGTAGGTGTGAAAAACGGATCGCATAAAAAGGTCTTTTGTTCTATTATAAAATAAAATAGAAAGTTTTTTATAAAAAAAGTTAACGTGAGTGGTGCTCTTTACCTATCCATGCGAGCTCTGTACAGTTGGTCTTCACATGGAATGCCCAGTGGAGGGCTCACAGAAAGTGGTAAGTGTGAAGAAACTGTTTTATATCCGGTGTGATTGAAAGTTAGGAATTGTGGCTTTTCTCTCGAAGTTGCGTAGGTGTTTGGCCATGGCGCTTTACCCTTCTAGGCCCCGAAAGTCCACCGAAATCTCAACTGTTGCTAATAAATACTATATAGTAACAACCTCGTGTACGCCTATCAAGAAAATAGCTAATTGTGCATATATATATATACATATATATGTATATATAAAGGCGCCACTGCTACACACACATGGAGTCGATCCCAGCGCTCACAGCCCACCAAGCCTTCCATTCCTCTGGCATTGGCAAATTGCTACTACCAGACCTGTCTGTGAGGATAGCAGCACTGGCTCGATACATCGGTAGACCACTGCGAGTCATTGCAAAGGGCAGATATGCTTTAAATCACCTCCAAACGATGTTTGATGAAGTCGAATTGCGTACCGCATTCCTCAGGGATTGATCAAAGCCAAGAGCTTTTATCCTTTATATATATAACATAAGAGATAGAAGGCTCTTCGAAAAATTAAGAAAAATGCAAATTTGCGTCAAATTGAAGTGTCAATTCGGAAGATGCAACAATGATGTGAATTCCAACAAGTATGATCAATGTCGTCTAACGTTTTCTTTTGCGAACATATTGCGTGTAAATGTTGCCTCCCCTAATTCTCCTCACTGTTGGCTTCCACACGTTGGTTAAGAGCGCTTTATGGTATTGGTACAAGGAATTTCAAGAGAAATTGAAAATGCCACCATAATCTCAAGAGATAAAGATGTCTGCCCCTGAGTTAACAAAAAAAAATCACGCATGCTGGCCTCTTGCACTTCTGCAAATTACCATCTCGAATTAACCCGATGATGACTTGAATTTTCATAACATTTCAGTTATGTGCTATCAGTGTTGTTCTTGGGTATTCGAATTTCATATCAGCACTTGATAGTAAAATTTCAAGCAATTCAGTTTCATTTCTTACATGGCCGGCCAGCAAGACGCTTATGAGTTTGCAGGAGCATGGAATGCTGCTCCGGGAGCACCTCCGCCCCCTGGAGCTCCTGCCGGTGCGAAACCGCAGCCTACCCTGCAGGGTGCTCCTCAGACTGCTCCGGGCGCACCCCTAAGTACTGGAGTAGGAACGCTAGGAACTCCAATATCAGGAAAAGTAACGACTACTAAACTTACTAAAACACTCGCCGTAAGTTTTTTTTAACAGTCAGTTCGTATAACATTAATAAATAATCCATTCCACTAAGATACTGCTCAGAACGTTGTGGCTTTCAAGCAGAATCACTCGGAGCAAATGTAATTCCGATACGTTTTATCGTTTCCAATGTTTAGTTTCTCCATTACTGCGTTCAATGATTTCCTTGGTTACATCTATTTCTGATCAGTTGGTCCTCTTCTCACTGCTCCTCTAAGCCTATAGCAATCATCGAACAACTTAAAAATAGGTACTCTAAAAATGTAGTACAGAAATAATCCATAGATAATCGTTAACTAACGTTTAAAAAATGCGGGGACAAAAGAGGGAAGGTGACTAAAAGAAGAGAAATGGAGATGAAATTGGCTAATGTGAAGGTTAAGCTGCGTTCACATGAGAAGACATGAGAAAGTGAAGTTATGAGGCCTGTTCACGTATGAGTAACATAATTGTTTCCACGAGTATACCACAGTATTAACCTCTTTTTTACTTCATGCGTATTATTATTTTTTACGGGAGGGTATAACGTGAAACACAACCACTATGATGCACAGATATTTCCAAAACTCCAGACTGCAGGTTTCTGCGGTGGGGATCGAACCCGCTATTAAACTTTCCAAGGATTAACGTTAACGTGTTGACCACCACACCATGCGGGTCCTCCGTTTCGCCTTTCTCCCAAACGTGTTTAATCGTTTAGATGCTATCGGCAATCACCTGTCAGTAGGATTGATCTGAGGAGCACAAATCGGCATTTAACCCAGTTATGGTGGTAGTATAATTCACAATTTAGTCACTTTCTATTAACTGCCTATTCTTTTTTCATGCGAAGGTTTTGTGATAAGTGTTACATTGTGATTTATATTATAACTCCAGGTTAACTGGATTCAATGCCGATTTGTGCTTCCTAGATCAGTCCCGAGACGAAGATTACTGATAGTACATATAGGTTAGAACATGGCAGACAGAAAGGCGAAGGTAAGTACTCGCATGGTGTGGTGGTGAACGCGTTAGACCCCGGACAGTATAGTAGTGGGTTTGGTCCACAACCCAAACACCTTCGGTTCTCACTTTTGGAAACATCTCATCATCATTGTGGTTAAATCATTAAAGTCTTTATCCTTTTATGAATCCGATCACCTTCGGTACAGATTTGAAAAGCTACTTGATCTCATGGATTTGGCCATCAATATTACCTGTGATGAGCGAGACAAATAGTACATAGCTACCACATTTATTCATCCTGTACTGATTCATCGTCGTTTTTGAAGAAATACTTGTGAAGACCACTACACATACGGAATCGATGTGATGTCGCGATGAGGCCACTCCAGAGCTGGATTTGTGTCTGAAACATTGACGATGAGCTGATAGGCAGTTTATTTAGTGGAAAAAAATCGTCCGAGAGCCAATACACGATAAAATGACCCCTTTCATTGAGTTCTACAATCACTCTTGCTCACAATCCACGAAGTCTTCTAATGATCTAGGAATTATTGTTTATTTTGGAAACACCAGCGAGTTCATAGAGGCTGAAAATTACGCGTCGTGTAGTCTGCGACAAACCCAAGAGTTATCAAATACAACAATAGAGTAGATTTGTTGATGAATAGGACTAACTAATAGAGTCCTATGTAGTTGTTAGGAAAACTTGACGTCAGTAGATAAATTTTCCACTTCTTATTTAACGCAGTTACTCAAACATGTTTCCTAAGGGATTTATCGAACTGCAGCAAGAAGATAGAGAAAATTGCAGTGAAAGAGTTCATATTTTAAGAGTAGATGAGCTGCTTTCAATTCCACCGCACCTTTACATTGTCGAGCAATATTCTATCGAAGAGACCGGCGAATTGTCAAGACCTCGCGCTGAGCTTGAAGAGATGCCAAGTAGGGTGGCGCCAGGTGCAGATAGTTAGGAAACGTCTGTGTTCTGAATAACCAGGAAGGGTTAACTGCGTGTAAAAGATGATTATCTTTGAAGAAATACAAACAGTAGAAGATGTAGATTCTTGCCGAAGGTGCTGTAAACGAAAACGCTTAGCAATTGTGACACTTTGACTCAGATCCTGCAGAGCCAACCGTGTTAGTAGCTTTCCTTTCACCATTACCACCATTACGTAACTACTCTTTCTGTGCAAAAACTAGGAAAACTCAGACAAGCTCGAGCCAGAAATTGTTCGTCGAAGATTTTGTTGCGTGTGGAACAGTTTTTTTCGGATCACACCATTGCAAAAAAGTAATCCCAAAAGGTTTATGCATAAAAGGAAACAATTTCGACGAAGGTGAATTGGTATTAATACAAAACGTCGCCCACGTGTAAGCTTAGCGAACACATGCCCACTGATAATTCGATGGATGCTGACAATCTATGGAATGACTTGAGTAGTTCAGGATTTGAGAGCCTACAACACGTCAAGAAGAAACTTTGAAAATATCGCTTTTAAGTTGTGTGGGTTCTACAACGATGCTGAGATAAAGGAAGGAATCGCGAAACCTGGCAAGAAAAATTGCCATTTCCAATGGCTGCGAAGTAGAAGCCACTCGGTTTGGGGGAAAACGTTGGGTAGTTTCCCAAAATAATATTTCAGACGAAAGGATGCTGAGATATTTGCAAAACACCGAACCGTGGCTGTCTGCGGTGGGAAGGAACGATCTATTACCATTTCCGGGACTAACGCCTTCACCACCACACCATGCGGGTCCTTCGTTTCGGCTATCTCTAAGCTACTTCGATTTCTCTATCTCTCAGCTACTTCGATTGATGAGTGCCATCAGCAATCACCCGCCAATGGGATTGATCTGGGAAATCCACATTGACAGTGAACCCAGTTAAGTTGGGGTGCTGAGAGACAGGCGAAGCGAATGACCTGCATAGTGTGATAGCGAACGCGTTAGCGCCCGGAAAGGATAATAGCGCGTTCATTTCCCACCACAGACAACTGCGATCCGGAGCTCATCGTTGTGATTATATTTCGCATAATACCCGGCCGTGAAAATTGTAGAGGCAGAACATAAAAAATAAACATTATATGGATTCCCTCTAAAATACTCTTGATATAATGGTCATTTTTAAAACATTCGTCGCAATGTAGACAGCCTTTCATAATTGATACTCATCTGGGAACACCATACCGTCCCATTGAACGGAATCACACACTGCTTGGCTACTTGGAAGTTCTAGTTTTGACAACGAACGGCGCAGAAGGAACGTCTTATGAGCTCCTGAAGACGACAATTTCATTGTGCTAGAACATAAAGCCAGATTTGGTTCTTATTTTAAGCCATAAAATCCACTGTGGCCTGAGATGCGCTTCAATAATGTTGAAGATTGAAAAATTAGATATCTTTGACTCATTTAACTCAATTAGTCGTTATTGTGCAGCTTAAAACGTTGACGACCTGACGGGCGTCTTGGGAGAATACACTGTGCCGATTTTTGGCCACTAGGAAGCACATTTTCCTTCCTTTAGACAAGCAAATCTAAGCCGTAATGAGAAAGTTTATTTATATACTCTATTTTCAGCCACAACTCCACTTCAGTATTCTTTCATTACAGAGTAAAAAGAAATTGCTTCAGAAGAAAAAAAGCGTGAAAAAGAAAGCACCGGAGAAGAGAGAAATCATGAACGAGGGAGATACAGTACAAAGCCAGAATTTTATGTATGTCTCGTTCTATTTCAATAACCTTCGATATTACTATGACATAGGGCATGTGCGTCACATGGTCGGTCGGAGGCGCCCTGCAACACACACGCGGAATCGATCCCCGCGCCCATTGCCCAGCATGTATTCTCTCTCTCCGGGGCCGGCAAATTGGTAGCAGACTTATCTGGGAGAATAGCAGCACCGGCTCGATACATCGTAGACCACTGCGAGTCAATGTAAAGGCCAGTTATGCATTCAATCACTTCCAAACGATGCTTAATGAATTCGAATGCATGGCGCATCCCTCAGGAATTGATGAACGCCGAGAGCTTTGTCCTTTTGTATTACAATGATGATAAAAGTGTGAAGTGTTGAATGACCATACAGCAAGAGTTCATCTTCAAGCACCCGGCTCTGACTGGGAAGCATTTCGTGCTCATGAAGGACCAGATTCAAGAAGATTTTTCAACCCGCACGCGGATCATTTTCACATACAAGTCGCCGCCACCTCCAGGATTATCAACACTATTCATGAATTGACAATGATCAGTGCTGTCTGAAACGCAAGCATGTGAACGCTTCATCGCAATTGCTGTATAATGTTAGGTCTTCACTCATCTAATAGCTATAGCTGCCGCTATGCTATCCGGCATTCCCACTTTCGGAGTGCACTCCAACCAATGAGGGCAGATCAAGATTCTCATAGCATTATTGTATGTTTTTGATTTTTCTCTATTGGGCAAGATTTTACATTCTGCTCCTTCCACCATCAACACTTCCTGGCAGACCAATGTAACCTTCATTTGCCCACCCAAATGTTTACAAGTGCTTCATTCACTAAAGAACGAGGCTAATTCAGTGGATTTAATCTATAGTAAAAAAAAAGCCCAATGGTAATATCTGTGGTCGGCTACAAGTTCATGAGAAGATGAGATGTAAATCCGAAATTACCGCATCCCAGACTCACCAAGCTTTCCATCACTGCGGGATCGCCACGTCGATATGAAGACGTGTCTGGAAGGCTAAAAACGCTGCGTTGATAAATCAAAAAACTATCACTAGTAATTGTATAAGATAGATATGCGTTGAATCATCACTGTTGATTGATGTCACATCTCCGAGGGATCGTTCAACACCAAATGCTTTATTCTTCATCCGTTATGATATAGAAAGTCACAGTGACACTACTTTGATAGCACTCCTAAATTCCCAGTTTCTTTCAATAACTAGAAAACAACAGAACTCTAGCCTTCGGCATTTTCCAGAACGAAAACTTTTGTTGCAGCTGGCGAGTAGTCAAATTATTGGGTTCTGGTGGATTTGGTGACGTATATAAAGTGGTGAAACAAGGAGATGCAGATAAAACGGTTGGCATCTATTGTGTACTGTTTTTAACAAACATCTGAAGGGATATCTTTAAGGAAGCTGCCATGAAAACCGAAATGGTGATTGGCGATCGAAGGATGTTACGATTGAAAATTGAAGTCTTAGTGCTGATGAAGTGTCACGAACAAACAGATCCAAATTGCAAGCAGCACTTTGTCGCGTTTGTCGACAGAGGGAAGACGGAAAAATTCAAGGTATTTCTGAAAGACACGTTTTCCGGTAGGCCGTAATTATTCATGCAAAATATAAAGGTGTGTTGTGTATATGCTAAGGCTGAAAAATAGCTCCACAGCACGACCTCGTAGCGAGTGCCAAATTATTTTGATCTGCTATCACCCAACACATCTCTTAATAAAATATGCCTTAAAAAGCTTTGAAATGTCAGCAGAGCTATATTTCAGTTTCTGGTTATGGGGCTTGTCTGGAAATCATTAGAAGACATTCGAAAAGATGTACTTGGACACAACTACAGTCGATCTACGGTTATACAGTGCAGCTTACAAACCCTGATTGCTGTGCGAGACCTCCACGGGATCGGCTACCTTCACAGGAAAGTCTGGATGTATCCGTTAGTATTCGAAACAACTCAATAGAAATCGTCACTTTCTTACACTAGAAAGAATACTAACGAGGCTACCGAATAAGTAAATAGGATTTTAGGGATATAAAGCCGCAGAACTATGCTTGTGGACTCGGTGAACAACAAAGCATCATATACATGCTGGATTTTGGCATAGCTCGAAAGTACACTGTTGGAGACACAAACGAAATAAAGTTCGTTGGAAGTGCAGAAATTTTGCAGTTCTTCCGCTTCTAATATTTATGGAACTTTTTACTGTCGCAGTGACTTTTGTGTGCGATCACGTATCTATGGCAACTTAACAAAAATATAAGGAATTTTTCCAGAGTACCGAGAGCCAAGGTTAGCTTCCTTGGAACGATGCGCTTTGCCTCCCGAGCATGTCACAAATGCATTGAGCAAGGCCGGAAAGATGATTTGGAATCGTGGATTTTCATGGTACGATTATTAACTAGCTGCTTAAAAGAAAAAATTAAGAGCGAAAAATTCTGAAGAAAAGACAAGAAGTGTTTTCAATCAGAAATGGTGTTGAGCATGCCTTTGTTTGATTCAGTTATCCTATTACCTTTCGCTTTTCGCTCTGCCGGCTTCTATCATGTGTACCTCAGTGTTGCTTGCATCTTTCACCTGTACAGTGATAAAAAAAGGTGTCCGCTTTTGCGAGGAAGTGAGATTCGTGCCTTTTGTTGCTCTCTCGTAGTTGCTTTGAGCTGTAGGTTAGGTGCAGTCTCAAGTGCAGTAATCGGCGATTTGTGTAGACAGGTAAGCACAAGCATGTTTTGTCATCTTATCATAACAAAAAGCTGCCTCTAAGTGTCGAACCTCAGTAGTAAAAGAATAAAAGGATAAAAGGATAAAAGGATAAAAGGATAAAGCTCTCGGCGTTTACCAAGTCCTGAGAGATGCGCCATGCATTCTACTTCATTGAGCATCGTTTGGTGATCAAATGCATATCTGACCTTTACAATGACTCGCGGTGGCCTACCGATGCATCGAGCCAGTGCTGCTATCTTCCCAGACAAGTCTGGTACCAATTTGCGGACCCCGGAGGGATGGAAGGCTTGGTGGGCCGTGGGCGCGAGGATCGATTCCACATGTGTGTTGCAGGGTGCCTCCGACCATTGCGCTACATGCGCCGTTCAGTAGTAAAATAGAGAAATTTCTGTGCTATCTTCACCGGCAAAAGTCACTGTGATGTAGTTTCTTCAACAGCAGCAGTTTTCGCTACGAAATGAACTTGTCAGCAAAGCAGTTTTTGGAAATCATTAGATGTGGAATGCACCTTTCCATGGGACACGCCTTACAGAACATTAGTGTTGTTCAAGCAATCAATTTAACATTGACTTTGAAAAACATCTATGAAGCAAAATAAACTACTGAAAAGAAATGCATTTGGTGCCATGCACCTCGTCCATTATGCCTCACTTACAAATGCATTGTGTAGGGTGCACCATGGGTGTTACGTGATAACAAGCAAATGGAGAATCCGTGGCTTATACCTAAGTGCTTAGCCGTTGCATTCGAAATGCGAAAGAATGCTCATTGATCCAAAGAAACGAAGCAGTTCAGGTTTTCGAACTATTCGACGACGCAAACGGTCTACCATGGAAGAGAGCTGATCGCACCAAAGTCGTTCCACTAAAAGAGAAATTCTTCAAGAACCAAAGTATGCAGTCACACTGTCTTTCTTAGCCCAATACCTAAGCAAGGTCATTCATATTATATAATTTTGGTAATGGACTAGTGACACGAGTTAACTGGTAGGATCTACAAAAACGTTATCGTTATTCACAGAATTCAATCACTTCATTTGAGTTTTCAATTCAATCATTTCACAAAAGTCAGAATAGTCTTTTCCATAACTTTGCCGTTCGGTGGCCAGAATAGGTCTTCTCCATAGCGAAGCTGAAGCAAGCCAGTAGCAGAAGAGCAGATCGCCATCTAACCACTATGTGTCACGCTCTAATGTAACACATGGAAGGAAACAAAAGCTAAAAAGCTGACTAATGATGACTTTTTTTAGTTCAAAAGTGTTACAAAATAGTGCCAGCAGACTTTAAACGAATTGTGGAGTATATCGATGGATTAAAATATGCCGACGCACCCGATTACGTGTATATACGTATTTTTTGAACTTCACTAAGGCTACTACGACTCTAAAAAAGTACAATTTTAGTTACTTTTTAGATATATAACGAACTCAATAAACTCGATAGCTAAAGAAAACAAAATCGACGTAACCCGGAAATTAGACTGGATTGGAGTTCAGCCAAAGCCACCTCAGAAGAAGAAGAAGGAGGTACGCCTGTGCGAGTTTCCTTTTGTATTTTTTTTTTTGGCTAGAAATTATCTAAGGCGTATAGGACCACAAAAGAGTTATTTACAGAGTGGTGGTATGTAACGCTAGCAATGAGCACAATAGTTTATGTCTTGAACAAATGATGAGAACCCCAGTCTCCTATGGTGCTGGTCGGCATGTGCCGATCAGTGGCCAGAAAAAGTGTTCCCCATAGCGAAGCCAAAGCCATTAACAGAAGAACAGGTTGCCATTTAATCACCATGTGTCACACTCTGATGTAAATTAATGAGAGGAACTGTTATTTTGCGAGAGGTGTCCATGTGTACGAAGAAGAGATGAGTCGAAGTGTCGTCGTCATCTCGTCACCACTACTTTACAGTATCACAGTTTTCCAAAAAAAAAAAACGAGAGGAAACACCTGACGCCCACCCATGCTTTTCCACCGATGTTTTTATATTAGAGTGAGTACTAGGAAAGTTAAATAAACGGAAGATTGAAGACCTGTATATGTAAGAATTCCTAGTTCTATGGTTTGAACAGCACAGTGAAATTCAGGTCGAAATGACGTTTAATTGAGTATGACAATGTCTAAATGAATTAGGTTCATTCTACCTCATTAAAATTTCAGAAATCCGAAGTGTCAAGCGATAACCGCCAGTCGGGTTCTGACTCCGAATCGTAACCGAGAAGGGTCACTATGCATTGTAAGTGGTTAAAAGTAGTAAACATATGAATATCCAATATTTATCATTCAAATATACAATCATCGCAATGTGGCTTATTGTTTTGTTTATTTATTAATGGCTATGCAAGAACAACATGGTTGTAGAGCAGTGATTAGGGGTGCTCTACAATACGCATGAGGTCTTTAGTTCGACCCCGCACCCCACATTCGCCGAGACCCTCTCCCTCCGAGGTCGGCGGGTTGGTAACAGACTTCTCAGGAAGTGTAGCACCACTAACGCGATAAATTTGTATGCAACCGCAAGTCACTGTATAGGCCACTTGTGCATTCAATCACCTCAAACGATGCTTAGTGAAGTCGAATGTATCGCGCAACCCCTTAGCGATCGATCAACGCCGAGCGCTTTATCCTCCATCTTTTATCTTGGAATTCTACGAGAGGAGCATAATACTCAAGAGGAGAACTGAATCACATAGTGGTCTAAGAAAATTCTACAAAAACGCACGCTTCCATCTTGGTTTAATATCAACACTACAACACTATATGGAATGTAGGCACTTTTATTCACTGCCTATTCTTTTGCACGGCAAGGTATGATATGAAGAATGAAACAACGACAACATAAAACAATGACGTTAAAGTATGTAATTTTAGGTGTAATTAATTTAATCTTGTTTAGCGGTTTTCTAGACATGAAAATTCACTTGATGAACGGTTCCTGGATCAATGTCGCACCCAATTCCCAACGGAAAAAAGACAGGAAATTGTAATGAAATATGAACTGGCCTTGTTGAGCCGATGCGGGATTGCGGCAAGTTGTCGTTGTTTTTGTTGTTGTTCTGCGGTTCGCCTTCCTCAGAGCCGTGCTGTTCCGACTGCCACCAACCTCGCATCGGCTCAACAAAATCAGTTCATACTTATTTACTTGAACATTTGAATGCCCCATCCTCATTGGTTGTGCAGGCACCAGCATAATCTCCACTTTTTCGGAATTTTACTGGTTTAGACATTGTGGTTCCTTGGAGGCTCGAGGTCAGCCAGGCAAAGTCTGCCCCAGGTCGTCACCACCACAGGCAGTCGCAGCCTTTGTGGATCAGAGGGAGATTTGCCACCATTCAACTAGTTTGGTACCAGGACGGTGGTGGATCCTTGTATTGGTTTACTCTTAGCTAGACTTCCTGATGGAAGCGCCGGACTCCTTCTCAGCTTGGGAGACCCTGCCAAGGGGATGAATGGCCCTGATGCACATCGCAGTCTGACACCCAGGAACACCTCTCAGCCACGATGAGACGGTAAACCGTTGGGAGGAGTCAAGAACACAGGTTTATTAATCGAATTAATTAATTTGATCTAAGTGTGATGGGATGTCGCTAAGAGTGGAATTGATATAAAAATAGTAGTAGTTTATCTAACCATAGAGCTATCCAAGCAGAAAAAAAGAGTAGAGTTTTACTAGCAGTGTTTGGAAGGATCAATGGCGTGGGCAATAACTTTGCCTTTAGCGTTATATTGGCAATTGCGTGCAACCAGTAAGTCGGAATGCGTTCCCCCATCATTTGAAAGAACCATGCATAACGTGCGCTCGACCTCGTCCAACGAAAACTCGGACGTGAAATTTGGAATACTGGCATGAGCACTGCGTTATAGATGATAGATTTTTTCGGTAGAGAAAGGAATCATGCTGTAGACAAATATTCTCGTGGGAATAGAATTCGCTGCGAATATTTGCTTTTCAATTGGACAATGAAATGAACTATACTCTCTCCAACATGGTTTGTCATGGATGATTCTTCAATATTGATTTTCTACAAGAACCGATCAGCACCTTCAAAAGAGCACTTTGCTCCTTCATAACCTGCATGAACAGTTATATCACCGCATAGGAAAATGAAACGAAGGTCGATGATATGGAAATATTTTGAACAAATCTTTTTTGATCATGGCAGAGATCTTGAACACGAATTTACTCCTAGAAATCCTTCAACTGTGCAAACGTTTCGAACCGTCGGAGTTGCTTATCGGCCGCTTTTTAGCACCAGGCCCAAGTGGAACACATTTTGAGCGGTTTATAACTGCCTATTTCTGTGCGTTCCATTCTGAGAGATCTGTAGAGGCATGAAAAAGCGATGCCGAAGAGCGTGCTGAGTATCCCCAGGTTGTTTGTCTGGTTCAAAAGTTGTCGGTTTTGTCGTTTCAGACATTGGCGCTTCGTTTTAAAATATGATGTCAACCTATTCGGGTTATATTGTGCATTACTGTAAGGCGCAAGTGTCTCTTTACCTTAATGCTTTTCTTTCATGTTGAATTTATTTCATTAGGGACAAAAAAAGCGGATTCGGGAATTTCTTACGAATTCAAACTCGTAAGCCTTGTGAACCCCTTGCGATGTGAAAGTGCATTGATAAGGGAGCTGTAAGCGATTGTATGGCACGGCGTATATTACAAAAAAGCTGTGACCGAAAAATAAGTCCCTAAATTGGCGAAGGTCGAGGACGAATCACAACCATCAATGGTGACCATTCAACTGAATCCACTGGAATTGAAACCGATAAAGTGATTTATGAGCTCGGAAAACAGTTAGCGGTATGTGGTGGGACGGTTCCAGGACACATCAAATCAGTTGAGAAGTTCCCAGGATCGACTTTCTATTAACCTTGGCATTGGAATATGAATGCGTCGCTTTCTTGTTCAGCAATCGCGAGGTTTTTAAACAGCATACATTTACTTCCATAGAGAAGCTCAATACGACTAATTGAAGAAGGCGATACTGCCGAAACGTCAGCTAGCGTTGTATTGTGTTGTGTTTCTCTATGGAAGTAAATGTATGCTGTTTGAAAATCTCGCGATTGCTGAACAAGAAAACGACGTATTCAGTTGAGAAGTGTAAAAAAGTTCAAAGTATGCGATTTAACCGCATGTGAGATGCACATGAAGAATACACATGGCATTGAGAATGGTAGCAATAACTATTAGCAAGTATCCCATGCAATTACTTCATTTTATCTATGTCGTCTTCGGTGAGCTCGGGAACTCGTTTGACGAATAAAGAAAAAAGTGTTCTCTTCAATATGTTTATCGAGTGAAAAATTTTTTCCTTAGTTGATAAACGACGAACCCGTACTTAGCAAAACAGTTGGTGAACTGCTTGGAAATATCGCTCTCGTCGTGACAACACTTTGATGAAATCTTATATATTAAAAAAAGGATAAAGCTATCAGCGTTGATCAATCCCTGAAGGGTGCGCCATGCATTCGACTTCACCAAGCATCATTTTGAATGCATATTTGGTCTTTAAAATGGCTCAGCTTGGCCTACCGATGTATCGAGCCAGTGCCCCTATCCTCCCAGACAAGTCTGGCACGAGGGACGAAAGGCTTGGTGGGCCATGGGCGAGGGGATCGATTCCACGAGTGTTGCAGGGGCCTCTCATCACCACGCCACACGCCCTTGTATTATATACTATACGAGAAAAATTAATTCTTCAATGAAGTTCACAGTCACATTAGCGATGCTTCGATTTTTCTTTGTTGATTCGCAACTATGATATCTATACGTTGAATTCGTGTGAACTGGCTAGACGTCGTTCTTGCATTTTCACTCACTCGCTTCGAACTGACTGTTTCAGAATCGTTTCCGAACAAACAGTGATCGTATTCATTGGTGGAAGTTTGATCAACTTATAGATTTTCGCGTTGTCTCGTGTTCTCGACGATATAAGGAATAAACTCTATGAGATTTTTCGATGTGAGATGCCAGTGTGTACCTAGAGCTATTCATGACAAACCCTGTAAACAGTGTCGAATCCTCCTTTAAATGTCAATTTTTATTTAAATTTCATCTCCAATAGTTTTTAAATGTCGAATCCATGCATATGAAAGCAATCTGGAAGAGATATGGTTTATTTTCTGGATGCGTGCATCACGATTTCGACCTCGGAGCTAATGATCTGGCCACTTTGGCGGAGAACTTCTTCTGGAAAGCAATCCGACATTCTCATGTCGATACAGCCCCAATCGGGCACGAAATGATGCAGACGGAACCGCTCACCTTCGCCTTCGACAGTACTCGACGACGGTGGAATGAATTGCTACGCGGTGGGCAAGGACAATAAATGGCTAAAAACACAGATCTTTCGACGTTTAAAAGCAACCAGCACTGACTAAGTGAATGCAATTTTCTACAGCGTGGCAAAAAATGATGGATTGATGTAGGGTAAGAACAATAACGTAAACTGCATATGTGGCACCAAGTGACGATTTTCAAAGCAGTCTTAAAATCTTCACAAATCACAACTTCCCCTCACTGCATTATTCCCTGCAAAAAAGAAACTGCCGGTGTCCACACACAACTAAACAACCAACCATCATATGCAGTTTTTATAGTGCGAAAAATCAAAGACTTCGTTTTCACATTTATTTACGGTTTTAAAGTTAAACTCACCATCTCTGCCTGGTACTCCGCCTGCGCCACGCAATCCTTGCGCTCCCGGTTCACCTGGGCGTCCAGGTTGTCCTGGCGGTCCTGCTGGTCCAATAGGGCCCGGTTCGCCAACGCCACCCGGATGTCCGTCACTACCTGGCGGTCCAGGTTGACCAGGTGGTCCAGGGAATCCAGGGGGTCCGGCTCCAGTTACTGCATCTTTTCCAGGTGAACCGTCCGGTCCCCTTCTTCCAGGAGGGCCACGCAGTCCTGGATCTCCAACTGGCCCAGGTCTTCCAGGCAATCCAATACCACCAAGGCTGGGTCTACCGGGAGTTCCAGGAGGACCTGGACTTCCCCTTGGACCAACAGGTCCAGGTGGCCCAGGCGGTCCGGGTGGGCACCGAATACATCCACTTGGTAATCCTGGTATATAAATGCTTCCCTGGATGCCAGGTTGTCCTCTAATTCCAGGCCTACCGTCCAAGCCTCGTTCTCCCACATCTCCAGGTGGACCACGTGGTCCCATCTCACAACGGTTATCTAACAAGGTACACTGACATTGCATTCGAGGATCGCCAAGAATTGTGCCCGTTAATGCTCCTTGTCGTCCTGCACGAACTTTACGTTTTTCACGGAATAATCCCGACAACAGAAAGCTTTCGGCTTGATTTGATTTGGCTGGAATAGTGAGCCGAGTCATTGAATCCCAAGCACTATTTGAGAAGTCCTGAAATGAGATTCGTTTCACCGCGTTTGCAATCATCACCGTTACTAAACCACTGCACCGTCGACAAAGTAGTGAAAAGGATATGAAGAGAAGTTTCTAAGGCCTTTTATGGCCATGCTGAATCCAACAATCATTAAATAGATCGGTACTCCAACAGCACGATGAGGTAAAACGTAGCCAGTCGACTCTAAACGCGAAAGGGTAACAGTCGAAAAATCAATTTTCGAAAAATGGTTTAAACAAGAAAAAGAACAATGCTTAGAACAGCTTTCAATTTATCAACTCTCGTTGATTTAGCACACTAATACCATCATTTTTCCAGCAGTCCAGAATATGTGGAACAGCTTCATGCAGGTGGCTTCTGCTTGTCGAACAACTAAGGGCGTAAGCTTATAGTTGCCTAGGAATTTAACACATTCAAAACCGAGGTTTTTCGATAATCGCAGATAACTCACGAATAACTGAAGGAGTTGAAGACCTGTGAAAGTTAAAAAATAGCGCTATCACCATAACTGCACAGACCCGCTATTTTCAGAAAATAACTGTTTAATATCCGCAATTTCGAAGTTTAAAAAGATCAGTTTGCATGGTTTTAAACGATTCTCGACAGCAGACACAAACATCGACGGTGCAGCCGACGCCACCATAATGTTCTGCTCTGCGGAGATCGCGGTTGCACCTCGATGAATAAGACGCAGGAAGAAAAGCCAATCAGTAAGTCTAAGAATTTCTGCAGCGTAGAACAGCCACACTGATACGTTGTTGGTAAAGATTTGTAGGTTTTAATGGTCCTTTAATTTAATAAAGTCCACTGAAAATTTAGCTCGAAAATGCTGTATCCGAAGTACAGTTGAAAAGGCCGTGATTATCTTCGTGTTTCGACTAATACCGTACGAGCTCAAAATTTACTGATTTAGGAAAAATCAGTGCTTTTCCTTGAATCGTCTTGATATAACTATTCTCTTCAAAGCGACAACGTCTGAAGTAGTTTGACTTATATTTTGAACACTCTTACCTATATTTTATACCTAACAGATTCCAAGAGTAAACTCTGTGAAAAAAATGTATATTGTAAACATACATATATATATATATACACATATGTATATATATATGCCAAGGCGCGTGTGGCGCAGCACTCGGAGGCGCCCCACAACACACGTAGAATCGATCCCAGCACCCACAGCCCACCAAGCATTTCATCTCTCCGAGGTCGGTAAATTGGTACCAGACTTGTCTGGGAGGATAGCAGCACTGGCTCGATGCAACGGTAGGCCACCGCGAGTCATTGTAAAGGCCAAATATGCATTCACTCACCTCCAGACGATGCTTCGTGAAGTCGAATGCATGGCGCATCCCTCAGGGATTGATCAACGGTGAGACTTTCATCCTTTCTTTATATACATGCGTTGAGAAGAGGCAGTAAATTCCTAGCGCTTCGTCTCATTTTATTCAAGAGACTGATGATGAAAAAAGTTGCATTAAGATTACCCTTATTAACTTTGAATCAGTAAATTTTAAGGAGTTATCTGTAGAAGTATTGCTGGTCTCAATGAAAATAAAAACTGCAACAATAAGAAAGAAAGCTTGAGCATAGTGGCCCACAGAGATGGAAAATAAGTGCCTTCCGTAACAAGCGTTCATTTGAACATTTTTACATGAAACTGTTGGTGCTTGATGACTTCATCAGAAATCCAAGAGTCTACCGTTTAGCATACACAATCCATTCGGCTTCTACCCGTGGCCACTCGAAGCACCAGAATTGTTCTAGACGGGAAACCAGTTGCCTGCTGTCCGTAATATTCGTCATTATGGCGTTGTTTTGAATATAGATTTTAAATGATGGTTAAAAATAAAGAGCGTATAATGAAGGTAGACTGTGGAGAACTGAACGAGAAGTACAATAAGGAACTAGAGAAATTGCTGAGTGCAAAAGCAAGACACACCCACCTTGAACTCCTCCAAATCTTTCATAGTTGAACTGAGGAACTTGCTCAAGTCGATGAACATGTAAGCAGCAGCCACCAAGCACAGAACGATGGCCAGAGCCGACGTAGTGACCGCGATGCTGATCAGCCACATCGTAGGACGACTACCACTCGTCGTTAACAACACCTTAACGGAGCGAAACCCTCCTGTTTTTCTTGCCCTTACTGAGACCGGTGCTACTGAGTGCCTTCTATCTCGCGCTTCGTCTCAACTCTCCACACAAACTGTAGTCTACACTTCCCATACTGATTTTTATAGCAGAGAAATCGCCAACGATTTGCAAGGTTAATCGTAAGAACCGGAACCAATACCTGACGATGTTTTCACTAGCAAACCGTGAAGTGCATGATGCAAATTCAGCGCTAATGAACGTTATGGGATGCAGAAACACGATGTTATGGTAAATGGGTGCAATCGGAGACATCAGCTACATGACTTTTACTTTTAAAAGGTTCAAGACAGCATTTTACTGTTAAGTATGCAAATTAACTGGATAGACTTATGTGGTTGAAATGAGTTTTTCTATTGATTAGCTAACTTGTTGTTATAAAAGTTCATTCGACTGTTTCGGTCCATCCGCCTTCTCCAGAGCTCCGACGATTCGAGTAGATTCTCTACAGTTCCTCACGATGTTGGGCTTCGCGGTTGAATCCAGTCGAATCTTCTGGAGTGGAGAAATACTCAAACTTGGAGCAGCACTCGAATTGAGTCTGTAATACCAAAGGCACGACTCTGAGGATACATTACTATATAGATCAAACCCTTTTATAAAAACCCTTCAGAGTGATGTTCATAAAAGTCGGCCGAATAATGGTGACCAGTCTAAAGAGAAAGAAAAATGCGATTTAGAAGCGTGATTTTTGCTGGTTGCCAAAAGAACCACGTGATCGTACGAAACATTTGGATATCAACTGCAGCCTTAAAGGAAAAGAATGTGAGCTTTCCATATCGCCAAAATTCTATTTTTCTGCATCAACTGTGGCTAACATTTTCTTCCTGTGAAGATTTAATCGGTCACAATCTTAGAAGAAACTGTTGGCATTGGACAGGAATGAAGAATTCGGTATGACAAAAACGTTTTGAGCGGAACCGTTTGTTTACTCGTCATTTCAAGGAGAAAAGGTCATGAGACTATGAGTCAGTTTTTAAAAAACTTACAACAGTGTAGCATATGCATGTTCTCTAGTCGAGAATGTCGAATCCCATTCTCCACATCATTAAAGATTTGCAGAAAAAAAAGAAACAAAAACAAGAAAAACACAGGCAAATCCGACCGTAACACATGTAACATTATTGGTAATCCTACTAGATGCAGAAGGTTCCAGCAGAGACATTTACGACTGTATACGATTAAAAGGTTCAAGAATGAACAATGCTTTAAAAGATGTCACCGGGACACTCGCTAATAGTACGTTTCGCTATCAACCGTAAATTCCTCAAAAACTTACCAGCTCCGTGGCGTCTGTGGTTGCTCTTGCAGCCAATTGTATGCAGCAACCAATTGTTCTCCATTCCTCTTTTGTAACTCATCTCAGTTGACAGTGAATAAATAAAAGGCCTACCAAAAGTTCGCGATGTTGCTGGTGTCCCTAGAACTCTCTGTAATCCACAGAGTAGTTCTGGTGTACTCTGAAACCGAATGGAGTTTTGGTGCAATCTTGAATTACCTGATTCTTAAGAGGTTATAAGGGATACGTACTATTAGCGTTGATGAACAAAAGTGAGATAACTATGTTCTACTCCTATTCTGCTCGTCCCACAACCTCACTTGGGACCTCAAAATCCCCACTACAAAAACGCTAGAAGAGAGTTACAGCCAAGAAACAAGCGACACCACAGCCGACGTTCTCTGACATGGAGGCCGCTGCTTTACCGTAATCCTTACCACAACGTGCTTTCAAAAATAAGAAACACCTACCTAGTGCAGAACCGTCGAGTTGTTTTTTTGTCTTCTACGAATCTTTACAAAGGTTATCCAATCACATATGCTAAGAATCCTGAAATGAAACTCAACCAAAACAGCAAACGGAATCATAGCAAAATTCCATCGCACCGAAAACGTACTCTCGATAGCCAGTCGTCCCGACTTCCAGTTAACAAACGTGTCCCATGTTCTAAGTTTTTTCGATACGAAATTCGTACGACGCTATAATGGAGGACAAAAAAAAAACAGCGCTGAAATGGACATGTCCATCGGCCACGGAGTAAAGCCGTCTTCTATCCAGAACTCCTTCCGATTACTACCGCAACTGCATAACCATCACGGTGAACTTTTCCATCGATCACCTACCATTCCCACAGGAAGTGGAGTTCCACAATGCAGCATCATCTCCATGATTATCTAACAGTAGCACTATAATAGATGAGATTATCACTCGTCAAAACGATGTACTAGTAAACAATTATAATCAAACTATTTCCTTTCTTGTTGATGAGAGCACCTTTTTCTAGAAGTACCAGTAGAAAATATTAAGAAATGCCTCAGTAAAGCCACAGGAGCAATGTGTTTACCGAGGTTACCAATTTATAAGCGTACGGATCCCAGTTTCTGCCATTCGTTTCGCTGCCTTGCAACTGTCACCCAATGAGGTGGTCTGGTTGGTGGTGCAGGTTCAACTAAAAAAATTACATCGAATATTGTGCACTAGGTGTTTATGGACAATAAAACGATATTGAACAATAACAGAGCAGGAGAGCGGCATAGACACCGCTCAACCGTTCAATTAACACCCGGTCTCCAATCTCCGTGCTTACCTTTTTGATTCAACAGCTTTCCCAGTACTTCAGTTCGCAGGCGAAGCATGAATTGATGCGGCAATAACGTTGAGAATCCTGCCGTCATCCATTACAGTAGTCAAGTAGTCAAATACTGCCTGCTCATATAGTGTCCGCCCAAAAGACGATATCGATACACCCAGAATACTCATCAGTAGAAAATCATAAATGGTCGGACGGAGATGCAGTTTCTATTAAGTGAACACACATCTGCATGATAGACGGGAGCGTTTGTAGCTCAAGTCTACTGGCTACTAGTGCTTAGTGGATTAGCAAATGGTACCCATACACGTGTAGTATTTGGAGTGATAAATAACACGCTAACTTGTCGAAGCTAAGGTGGGCTGGATACGTAGTGCGTATGAACAGCAAGCGATGCACAAGAGCCGTTAGTGACTAGTTTCACCGAGATGTCAAACGTACTTCAGGAAGACCACCGACCTAATGTTCTTTACGAAAACCCTAGAAGAAAGATATGATGCTCAAAGACTTCCTAGCGAGAGCAGAACTCACTGGGATACTTTTACGTGATACAGGAAGAAATCGAAGGTTTACTGCCGCCATTCAAATCATTCTACGGTCAGCGTCACCGGAGGTGATACAGGAATTCACGCCCGCCATTATGCACAAAACAGATTACCATCAGCTAGCACTCAGCACACGGTAACAAAACAAGTGCTAAGTGTGCTATGCACTCTGAACACGCGAGAAGTTGTCAGGTCGGGCCTCACGTACATTACCTTCCTCAAAAATGATTTTTTGCTCTCCTTCTACTGTATATTTTTATTTGTATTATACATCTATGGTTCAAGCGTGAAGAACATTGAAATATTACAGGTGCTAGGTAATGCAGAAATAAATAGTACTTCTCAAAAATATACAAAAATTAAAATTCACAAACAAAGAGAGCTGCACAAATGAAAAGGCATCCACCAGGACTTTTGACACAAAGAATGCAAACAAAATGTCTAATATTGCAGCAATAGATGGAGAACATGTAAGAATAGAAACTCTTTCTCCCAAAGGTGTGAGTTGTCCAGTTGTGAGTTGTTGAGTCTTGTCCCAGTTATTTGCAAATAAAACAGAGTCCATGACTGACGTCATAAACAAAGGGAAACACGTATGACAGTGCCAAATGCAACTTCTTCTGACCCTACACAGTAAGGGTTGTAACCCTACACAATAAGGCTACTTTTGCTCCAACCATTTAAAATGAGGTCAATCTATGCCAAAGACATAAATGGTCTGTAATGACATCGTAATAACAGTGATACTCGAGTAACATGTGTAAAAGTGACCGATTCAGCCATAATGCTCAACAGAGATTTGAAACAAATGTCAGTCTGGATACAAAGGAATAAGAAGAGAATGATTTATAATGAAAAAAACGGATATTCATAACATTAGTGGTAAATTAATGAGAACATTAAGGGTTACTATGTTCACTTTGCTCCTCCTCAGATTCTCCAGCGTTCAACAACATGTGGAATCTATCAACAGTTATTCGCGAATCTAAATCCACTGACGGCTCACAAGATGTTGATCGTGGTCCAACATCTACGAAACTCGCAATCCGAAATTAAGATTATGAAACAGTTCACAGGTATACAAAACAATCAGCTTTTTCAAAAAAAGAAACTCATCTCTGCAGTCAACCAAGTTATAGCAGTTATGATAAAAAGGCCGTTTTCAACCTATTCGCGATATTACGAACACTGTAATGTTCCTTTTTAGTCCAGTAGGTGCCAGAACTTTTATGTTCACTACATCGACACTTTGTATATTCATTCGAAAACTAATGGAAAGTAAATTAAAAGAGCTGGAATGCGACCAGAGAAGTCACTCTCTATACGTAATGATTTATAAGAAACCTCCCGGAAAAGTTCTTTGACCGGCAATTCATCAAACAAACAATTAACTACCATTTCATTTTAATTGCTGTAGCTGCTACGGAATGCGCGAATATGAAATTTTTCTACGAAAAAAATTTTTTTTTACAAGAACCATGATCACAACTACTGTGCGCATCCCAGCGAGACAGATCCCCCTTGCAATCCTGGAGAGAGTCGAGCTAAAGCGTTCCCACGTGGACTGGAAGGAAGCGTAATGGAGTGGATCGAACTAGCGTCTTTCCTTCCAGAATGGCAACATCACTAATTACTGCGCTCATCTTCATTGTCAGAAAACCAGAATGTCCGCTGCTGACGAAAAATTGCTCGCGTTGCAAATGGACCATTGTCTAAGTGCGCGAGCAAAGGAGCAACTATGAAGACGATTGTAGTAGAGAAGAAAATTGACAGTTTGGCAAAAGTTATTCTACTTTTAGCTCCCTGTTAGAAACGAAACAGCCACCTGAGATTTTTCAGGCAGGGTGTCTGCATGGCTGGCTATTCCATCACTACTTCCATCATCATCATCACCATCGTCATCACTTCCAGCTCCAAAACCAGCTACACCATCAGGACTAAAAAATAAAGATAGTTTAATTTTAAAATAAATTTGAAAGCGCTACTCAACTGCATATTCAGAACAATTTCAACTCACTCACAATCAAGTTTGTGAAGAAAGAAAGTATATTACACTCCGATACCTAACTTGCTTGGATACTTAGGATGGTCCTTCTTCAATGGTTGTGCGGGACTCAAAACAACTTCCATTTTTTCGGAGTTTTGTTGGCTTAGTCATTATGGCTCCCTGGATTCTCGAGGTCAGTGTGGCCAAAATCTACCCCAGATTATTACCACCATAGACAGTCGCAGCCCTTGTGGATCAGAGGGAGATTTGCCACCATGCGACTACTCTGGTACCAGAACGGTGGCTGATCCCGCCATTGGTTTACTCTTAGGTGGCTTCCTGATGGAAACGCCGGGCGCCTTTTCAGCTTGGGGGAGCCTGCTAAATGGATGAATCCTCCGCTGTGCATCGCAGTCCGCCACCCAGGAACACCTCCCAGCCACGATGACGCGGTAAACCGTTAGGAGATCAGTACCTAGCACTTCAAAGAAATTAATTGTAATTTGGGCTTTTAGAACTACAAATGACAGAACCTTTAAAATATTCAGTAGACTCATTTTTGAAACAACACAATCCGACGAAGATCTAACGTGCTAGGACACTGTGGTACAAAAGCATCGCAGACAAACTTTCTAATGTCAACTTTAAGTTCAAATTGTATTTGAGAAACTTGCTCTGAAATTTCTATGCTCCACTTATCTCACCACCAACACATTTGTTGCGTTGCTTTCATGCAGTTTCAAAAATTTTGAAATGAGATATCTTCACGCCACTCTCGCTAGCACTGGTCTCGCTGCCAAGAGAACAAACGATAACTGTTTTTGCAGAATCTTGATGTTTAGAAAATAACTTTTTCAGAGGACACCTACTAGAATATTTGTGGTGAAAAAGCTATCTATCGAACACAAAAAGTATACTAAAAACTGCACGACGAAAGAAACTAAGAAGAAATAAAACATTGAGATCAATGCACATAGTCTAGTCCACCAACTACGTATGCTATGAAAAGAATTCTTTTTTTATTAATTTTATTTTACTTGACCCAACTTCACATCTACTGTGAGGATCCCAACACTTCCTACATTCAATTCGTTTCCTCACAACCATCGACCACGAAGACCTTCCAACTTTACGTGTGACTTCGGTTGCTGCTTGAAGATTTTCATTTCATCTTGAAAGTCGTGGAATGCCGGTTGAGCAATTCTCCCTGGAGTCCTGAGATAGCCGGACTGAAGCGTTTTCCAGTTGGATTGCAGAGAGTGGTTTTTGCCCAGACAAGTCCGGTACCAATTTCTCGATCCGGCAGAGATGACAGGCTTTGTTGGAACGAAACGGGGTCGAACTAGCACCATGCTCGTGACGACGGGCATCACTACCACTGCGCTGTTCGCCCCATGAAATAAATACATAATGGAAACGGGACTAAATTTTATGTGGCAGTAACAGAGAAGATCACCCAATTCTCATCAGCTGTCAGTCATTTTTCAACTATGGATCCTTGTTTAACATCCACGACGCCCAACTTTCAACCTTTAGTGACTTACTGTTTCCTTGACAATAGATAATATTTCGGCATTTAGAACACTTGATAGGTTTCAAACGTGAATACATTGTAGAAAAAACTTTACACTAACGTTCTATACGTATGAAATAATATTTAAGGTGCTATTTACTTCATTTCACCACGGTCCTTTATACAAACATATTGCGTCAACATTTGGAATTGTTTCGAGATAAATGCGCCTCCATTTCAGCATTTTTTATACCCGTGCATTCTACCAATGACTACGATTCACTATAGCAACTGCATCTGAAACAAGAGTCAGGTTACTGCTTGAAGTTCATGCTAGTGAATTCGTTTGGGAAACGGTATTTTGTATATTTCTAAATGTACAATAATAGGGCTTTTCGCACAAAACTCAACACAATGTGCGTTCTACATGCTATCGACTGGAAACAAAAATTATAGGAAAACAGTTATATGTGTTAAAATGAGCGACCAAAGGGAATTAAAACTTATGGAGGTCACACTGCCCACTCCAGCAACTTTAAAATGACTCCCACAGAGGTCAGTCGTCGCGATAATGTTAAAGTTCTAAATCTTTAGAGCAACGGAAAAGCTTTAAAAACCAATGATATTTTGGAGAATACTATCGAGTCTTGGTGAAAGAAATCCCATTCGCTAAGAAGTTTCGAATTTCGATAAACGAGGCTTCATAAAGAAGACATGCACATTTTCTAGGATTCAAAAAATGATTGTTTGAACTTTGGCAAAAAAGGAAAGCTGTGCCTTGTTTGGAAGGATCTATAAATCTACGGACATTTATTTCGACTAAAAAGTTTTTAATACGAGCCAAGAAGTGATCGTTGAAAGGCGTTGGAAGTTGAGAGAGAAAACTATTTTGGAACATAAATCGTATGAATCGTATACCACTTATGTCGAGACCAGTGTTTTAATAATCAAAGCTCTATGTTTACAAATGAATAAAGATCTCGGCACTGATCAACTTCTGAGGGATGCGCCACGCATTGGACTTCATTAAGCACTAATTAGATGTTATTGAATGGATATCTGGCCTATACAATGACTCGCGATGGCCTATCAATGTATCGGGTAAGTGTTGCTATCCTCTCAGAGAGGTCTAGAACCAATTTGCCAACCCCAGAAGCATGGAAGGCTTGGTGTGCATCAGGTGCGAGATCGATATCATGTATATTGCAGGACATCACTAACCATTGCGCCACACACGCATTAGCTGTGTGGTTTACCACTTTCAAAGTATATTCATGGCATTGCGTACTGCATAAGTTGCTTACAAATACTAAGGCGCTTAGTGAATCCTGACAGATGCGAAATTTAAATATTGCAATCTAAAAACAGTTCCTATTTAACACTTTTTCCTTAGTGTCGACATGGTGAACTCCTTTATGGACTCAACTAAGTTCATTACTTGCAAATTTCTAAAGACTAGAACATAAATTGTTGCAATATTTGAAGACTAGGATTTAAGACAACGGCCAACATTGGTTTTTGCTAACGGCCGATAATTTCCTGATAATTAACGCTTTCTGGATAAGTTCACTAATCGACAATTGACTATTAGGTTATTTCCAATCACTATGAATCACTGTTAATGTAGACAACGGGATGGTATGAAAAAAAATGCAAAAGAACTCGACATAAGCTAAAAAAAATTTCAAATCGCCGACAGTAATGTCTTTATGAAGGATCTTAGTAAAATAAAGTACATGGAATTATAGATAACATACATGAAATTAGAACGATAGTCTCCATAATTCTGTGATATCCTCAACCCCTCAGGCCCTTCAGTTGCCGTGAAATTAGGCGTAGCCCCAAGCGCTAGCCACATAAGATCAGACGACTTAGTGAATGTATGTTAATCTAGGTATGGAACTAATTTTGAACAGCTGAATTTTACTGACAAGTGACAAGAAGCGAGTGTACCAGAAATTTTAGACATGTCAGCCCTTATGGATTATTTGAAAACTAGTAACTAGATATTACAGCCACAACAACGCTGAGATATTTGCAAAACTCGGAGCCCTGGGCCAGCTTCGCACACCCCATTACTCTTTTCGGATGTTAATGTGTTAGCCACTGCACTATTAAGGCCCTTTCTTTGCCTTTCTCTCAGTCACCTTTCCACGCTAACGGTTCCCTCAGCAATTACCCATCAACGGAAGTGATCTGGGGAGCTCAAATAGGCATCTAAACCAGTTAAGCCGATAGTGTAGTAGAAATCACGTTTACTTTTATTGACTGCTTATTATTTTTTCATAGCAGGGTATAATGTGAAATCTCGTGTCCTACATTACGATCGGCATTGAACCCAGCCAGAGAAAAGTAAAGCAAGGGCTTCAGTGGTGCAATGGGTAACACGTGAGTCCCCTGAAAGGATGATCGCCGGTTTGAATCCGAAGTGGGGTTCAAGTTTTGCAAATATCTTAGTATTACAGTGGTTGCACTTCACATCACACCTTAGTCTGAAGAAGTAACAGGCAGTAAATAAAAAGTAAACATTGTTAAATAGATAACTTCAAATGATGAAGAGATATTTGCAAAACTCCGAACTGCAGGTGTCTACGGTGGGGAACGAACGTGGTATTGTCCTTTCCGGGGGGTAACGCGTTCCTTAGAATCTCGAAAATCAAAGAAGATTGGAGTGGGAACAGTTATCAATCGAGCAACATTAGAAATTTGGGTTCACTACCGATTTGGGCTCCCTAGATCAATCCCGCTGACAGGTGATTGCTGACGGCAGAGATCGATAGTACTAGCTGAGAGACAGGCGAAACGAAGGAACTGCATGGTGTGGTGGTGAACGCGCTACTCCCCTAAAAGGACAATAACGCGTTCGTTCCCCACCGCATACACCTGCGGTCCAGAGTGCAAATATCTCAGTATCATTTGAAGTTTTTCGCAATATACACTGCCATTAAGAAGATTGGGCAGTAAATAAAACGGTTAGGATTAAATAGATAGATTTCCTTGAAGCTGACTTGACGCCCTAATTCATACAGATGGATCATATTTCACCTTGGTTTGGCCAAAAGCTCTCTTACACCAAACTGTAAAAAAATACATTCATTCACTTTGTGAGAATTGTAACGGACTATAATAACATACCGATGGCTCATTGGTTGACAAATAGCGCCAGCCTCGAGATCATAATAGAGTTCAGCCCCAGGAAAGATCGCCCTGTTCGGGGAGATCTGTAAAATGGCGAGTGTGGTCTTCGCAGACTTAGTAGTTCTTTATTTAAGCAACGGCGTGAATCAGTATGAAAAAACGAAATGAAGAAAAGTCCAAAAAAATAGCACTTAGTGTAAATGAGATTCAACTAAAGATGAATCAAAGACAAAATCAACCTGAAAATACGTGTGTTCGGGAAGATATTTTTCCACACGAATATACCGCCTCTCATACATATCCTCCAGCTTTGGTCTTTTAACAGCAGATTCACACTCCACATCTTCATTCTGTTTCAAATGTTCAGAAATCTCCAGGTTCTTCATTATCTTAAGAGAAAAAAGTGTTTAAAAATAACTGAACCAAAAAACTGTGTATTTACTTTTCAGCAAATATGGTGAGTAATAATAACAATAATAATAGTAATAATAATAATAATAATAATAATAATAATAATAATAATACAAGAGTCAACCTCGAGAAATTCTTGTTTTTCCGCAACTCGTCTTCTCTTTCTAACTAATCTTCTGATTGTCGTTGTTGTCTCACGCGTCTCAAAATGACCTTTTCGAGCATTCTCAATGGACATCACAGTTTCCTTCGACTCGGAATTGTTCTTGTTCACATTTTGCATAATCTTCTCCTCTATACATTTCGACTATAGGAAATGCTTCGTAAAAGGAAACCAAAACACGTACGATGCCTTTCCAGCATATCGGCAAAGTCTCCACCAAGAGCTATGCAAATATCCTCTATGATTTCATCACAATTTCCAAGAAGCTCAATATCGGCTCGATATGATGAAAGAGGTTCACTAAAGGATCGTTTCGACTAGAACAATGGGAAACTCCAGAAAAAAAAACATAAAATATAAATTCGTTCCTAGCAGATACAAAAATATGGAAAATATGTGACCAACATACAACCGGCATAGAAATTCAAGCATTTCCTTTCAATACGTATGCTCAAAATTCTCATTGTTTGCTTGCTCTTAAACTTAAAAAAACTCGAAATATCTCATAGTCTCAAAGTAATGGGATACCTTACCGATTAATTAGGATTTGTGGAACATTTCGGTCAACACTAAAAGGAATCAACGACACTGGCCGAACCTTCAACGATGAACCTAAGAGGAGAACTTTAAACGAGTGACTACGGTTAAAATAAACTAATAAACGAAAGGATTGCGACAGAAAAGCTGGCTGGTAAACCTAGTAGACAGAAAACAATGGCACACCTATAACAACTAGCAGATCGACTTCATCTTTATCAGCTGCCATTTGGATATGGAAATCACTGCCGAGGTCCTCACCAAAAAAGACAATATCGGGTTTAATAACTCCAACAGCACAACGTGGACAATGTGCGACACGCTGCAGTATGTCACCAATATTAATGTTAAAGCCGATGTTAACGATAATAACAATAATAATAATAGTAATGTTAATGATAATAATGACAACAATAAGTAGTAGTAGTAGTAGCAGCTCCTAACGGTTCACCGCCTCATCGTGGCTGGGAGGTACTTCTGGGTGTCTTGCTGAGATGTAGAGAGGGGATCCATTTCCCCGCAGGATCTTCCAATCTGAGAATGAGTCCGGTGTTTCTATCAGGAAGCTCAGTTAAGAGTAAACCAATACCAAGATCCAGCACCGACCTGGTATCAAACTAGTCGCATGGTGGCAAATCCCCCTCTGATCAATAAGGGCGGTGACTTCCTGCGGTGGTTACGACCTGGAGCAGATTTTGGCCAGGCTGACCTCGGGACTCTAGAGAACCACAATGGCTAAACCAGCAAAACGCCGAAAAAATAGGGATTATGCTGGGACCCACACAATCGGTGAGGACGAGCCATCCAAGTATTCAAGTAGTAGTAGTGATAGCAATAACAACTTTGTTCGAATATTCCATAGCTACACAAAAAAAAACAATGATGAAATGATAAGAAATACCTTGGCCATGACATCATCCTTTATCACGTCAATATCGAATTTGGTAGAACAATTCAAGCACGTTGCTTTAGAGAACGACCCTAGAATAACAGTTCTCGTTGAGTGGGAACAATGTCCAAGCTAAACCAATGGTACAGACAACTACAATCATGGAGCAAACACATAGAAATAGCAACAGGTTTAGCAATAGGCTTAATAGTATTTAATTTAAAACAATGTGATGTAACAATAGGCACTTTAGCAATAAGGAACCGGAGATGATTTTTTGCAAACTGCCGGTGATTTTCGGTAATCAGAATCCTTGAGGAGATGAAAACGTGATCTGCTAATAGAACAGGCGACTTTATCTACTTGAAAGTGAGTATGGTCCCTTAAAACTGTTAATTGATTTTAAAAGTTATTGAGAATTCAAAACTCCAGAAAAAATGATAACGAAGTCTAAGTTCTTAAAATTCTAAACGAAGTCAGGAAATCATAAACATGAACATCACATTTAGGGAAACCATAGAATCCCAATGGAAAAAATACTGCCTACCAAATTGCTTTCGTTTCTAGACTACAAGCCCCAACCAGAAAACACCAGGCGTTATCCAGAACTTCAACATGGTGAAGCAGAGGGATTTTAGATTGCAGGCAAATACTTACAGATTCTAAGGCTTTTCAATGCAATGGATAGAGTTTACTTCGAACTGAGACATGCCGTTTAAATTTGAACGCGACCGTTCTTTGTGCAACGTTTGAGTGGAAATCAACTCTACTTGCACCCTAACTGTTATTGACGGTCTGCACTGTTAACACAGAGTAAATGACTAAAATAATTAGCCAATAAAATGTATGACAGCCACCTTTTGGCTTATCAACGTCATAAAGGCATGAAAATTCGCCTTTCAATATTAGTAAAATCGTTCAAACCCGACTTTCCTTCAACCTGTGTGAAAAATCAATATGTATCCTTTTTTATTTTCGGCTAACGTTTCGGCGGTTTCGTCTTCATCAGAACCGATGATCCCAGTCAACGGTCATCTTCATCGGAGGAAACGACTCTGATGAAGGCGAAACCGTCGAAATGTTAGCCGGAGATAAAAATCATTTATCAACCTCGTGTAAACTTATCAAAGACAGAATACATATTAATACAATGCCTGATACATTAACTTAATACGAGACACTGTTGAACACAACACTTACCATGACATTCCACTACTCTCTCGATCTTTGCCTGCCTCTCAAGGGTGTCAATATTTTGCGTGTAGTTCCTTAAAAGCTGGTTGTTCACCTCTAGCTGACGAATAAATTTGTGGGAAATAGAAGGCTCGAATTGGCCTGGGAAAATCTCCTAAAACCCATTTGAACACTATGAAACCAATAAGGATTTAAATCACGAGGACGACGAAGTAACTAACCGAAGCAAAATCATAAAATGGAGCTGGATTGTGAATGAAATAGCGAATGTCAAACATCGCTGTTGGGTCAGGGAGATCCGGATAATCAACGTGCAGTCGGGCATAGATTCCTAAGCATTGAAATAACAAGAATAAACATTCCGATCATCAACGTAGAAAACGCTCTATCGAAATTACTACTATAGGCGCGAAAGTTAAAACGTAGTTTTAAACCAGCACCATCTCTGCTACGAAAATCTGGTATGCCACAGGAGACGGAAACACCTGCACCAGTAAGAATAAGAATGCGTTTCCGAGTTCTGCAAAGGAAAAAAAAAGTTAAACGCACAGGAAAATGGACATGTGAGAGCGTGAACGTTACGAACCACAAGGAGACTTACCTAAAAAGATCCACAGCATCCTCGAATGAATTGTACGCCAGAAGTTTTTCTCGTCGTGGTGGACGATCGAGCAATTCCGTGAGTATTGAGGCGATCTTTAAGGCAACGTATGAATTAAAGAATGCTGTGAGATATCACTAGGAGCTCATACGCTCCATAAAATACTTCCTGAATGCTGAAGAAGCGTTATTTTTCCAAAAGGTAATGTGAATCAGATTACCATGAACGACATATCGAGCATAAAATATGAAAAGAAAGTTGGGTTCGAACATACCAAATGATCCGACCACCCTTCTGGAGGCTCCTCTATGCCAGGACATAGCATTTCTATAACATCAATAAGACTAGCGCCTTCCTCCAACATAGCCTGAGCTCTGATTAGGGCATCGCCTGAGATCTAAGCAAACAAGTTACCAACACTTAAAGAAACAAAGCAGTGACAAGATCTACGTACTGGATTGCACCAGCATTCAGAACCAACTGGTGAAGGAGTGTTTCTGCTAGTTTCGATGTCCTGTGGAACATCTTTACAAGAACCTGGTCCCGACGACGAACTGTTCTAAAAGGCGACTATGAAGAAAGCAAAAACGCTGAATGGCATGGAAACGTTCCCATTACCTTCGTTCCTTCTTCCGGGGTCAGTGTTGATATTTCAGGTGCTGCATCGCAACATCCATTCTCATTGCTGACATTAACCATTGTTCCTTTAGTAGGAACAGCTCTAAAAAACTGTAAAGTCCTGAACTTGGTAACACTACCAAAATGTTGAAATTTAAACGAAAAACGAGGATGCAGTGATAACCATAGCACAGTCGACTGAGGGCTTAATAACCCCCTTTACGACATGCACACAAGATTTCTGAAGAATTAGCATCGTCCGAGCAATGAGCCATTTCATTACAAAATATAGGTAGGAATGAAAAAACACAACCATGCACTATTTCAGAAAATTGAACTAATGTCAACGCCGCGAGCGACCGCGCCGCAACAGACGTAAATCAGAGTCGCGCTCAAAAACCCACATCGCATGTAGCGTAGTGGTTAGGAATGCCATGCGATACAAATTAAATCCTTGGTTTGATCCCGCGCTACAGCTTCGCCCAGTCCTTCATCCATCCGAATTTGGCAGATTCGTACCAGATTTGTCAGGCAGTACAGCAACACTGGCTTGATACCTTCTTGGATTGTTAAGCTGGCTTATTGGCCAAGTGAGCAGATACGCTGAGAGAACAGCGCAAGTCATTGGATTGGCCAGATATGCATTCCTTGTCTTCTAACGATGCTTGATGAAATAGAATGTATGGTGCATCCCTCAGTGATCGACCGACACGGAATGCTTAGTGCTTTGGCCTATATCAGTTCATTTCCGATGACTTGGCTTGGTGCATGGATCCTGTTTGCTGTAATTCCTGACAGCTCATGGAACTCGGATTTTGTAGTAGGCGTCATGCTCGGTGAACTACTCTCTACACTCAGCAACTTACAAAGAACAGTTTTTCGGAAAAGCCTTTTCGTCGACAAGAGGTTATGAGCGCTGGAGATCCGTCTCCGCTGTTCCTGAGCGTCGACGTTCTACACGTGAGCACCTCTTTCCACTACGATAACATGGCAATGGGGAGACCTCTTCGCAATGAGCCGATCTTCGCATCATCTACGTACGTGAGTGTGGCAGTACACAGCACATCTTTAGCAGCAACTACCAAGTCTTGTTGCGACAACCGCTTAATGATGTTTTGAACGTTGTGCTCATGATCATTTACTTTACAGTAGAGTTTTACAGTTGTTCAACAAATTTTTAAACCAGACAGCGTCTCTGAATAGAGGAAAATATTCTCTACGGCAACTGTTTTCCCGATGCTTCCTAATGATGAATAGTGTGCAACATGTATTGTTTTGAGTGTCATTAAGATCATAACTTACCTCCGAAGTCGACGTAGTAGCAACCTGGATCTTGAGGTCGGTTATCTTCCTTGGACATTCTCGCAATAGACCATCGTGTTCATAAAACGCGTTTGAGCGATGAAATGCTGAAAGGCACTTGAGGCTAAACTAGGGAGAGCAGAAATCGCGTGTAGACCATAATGAAAATTTTATGTACCACTTGTTTGTTTTCCCGATATATGGGGATCAGAACGCGGTCTGGTGTGTTACAAATGTTACAAAACCTCTGCAAATGCTGATAGCGACGCGGTTGGTTGGCGGAGGAGCTTTTGTTTTCATCACACACAAGAGTTGAATATGCTCCAGTAACATGAAAGATACCCAGAGGAGCACGGAGGTTGCGCAAAATTTGAGAAACACGGAAATTACTGTCAAGGCACGTAGAAAACCGAAATGTTATATGACGAAAAGCACAAAGCAAGGGGCAGTAATTTTCTTCGTATTTTTGTTGAGCAAACGCGAGGTGTTATTATTCTTTGTTCACGATTAAGCTGACGTTTCGGCGGATTTCGCCTTCCTCAGAGCCGCTTCCTATGAGGTTTCCACTAAGTATGTCACGTAGAGACCAACCGCACAGAAATCACATGGAAGTATAATGTTAATTATAATGTTTAATTATGTTTACGTTATTGTTATTTTATTTATTTATGTTATTACGTTATTATTATTATTATTTTTATTTTATTTGTTTATGTTATTTTTATTATTTTCATGTTATTTTGTTTTTTTTATTATTTTTTTCGTTTAATTATGTTTTTTTATGTTTTATTTTTTGTTTTTTATTATGTTTAATTATAATTATTATAATGTCACACATTATACTTCCATGTGATTTCTGTGCGGTTGGTCTCTACGTGACATACTTAGTGGAAACCTCATAGGAAGCGGCTCTGAGGAAGGCGAAATCCGCCGAAACGTCAGCTTAATCGTGAACAAAGAATAATAACACCTCGCGTTTGCTCAACAAAAATACGAAAAAAATTACTTGATCAATGCCGAGGTTAATAGAAAGTCGGTCGTGGCAGTTACTGCAAGGGGCAGTGTTTTGTGATTGGCAGGCAGTATGGCCGGCAGGACTCCTATGGAAGTCACAGCGCGTGTGGCGAGAATTCTGTTGCACATGTGTAAACGTGTATCGCACGCAAAATACAATGATGTGTATGCGTCTAAGGCCAACAACTTAAAGGCAATTTGATGTTGCTTAAAGCGCTAGTTATCCAACTTCGCTGGAAATTTTCCGAAAATTTATTTTCCAACCGTATTCCTGTTCATTTTACTTTTTCTGTGGCAACTCTAATTTTCGGTGACCGAAGTGCTTGTTGCTTCGCGAATTGCACAAACTTATGGAGATTTCGCTCTATTGTTCCATGGATTGTAAGAGCCAATCAAGCTGTACTGCGGCACAGTAGAACGACTGAATCGTCAGCAGTTCCAGAGTGTGGGAATTTCGCTCCCCACTCGATAAATCTGATTGGACTGTCTCTGTGCTGCTGGTGTATATTGATCGCACATGAAGCGCGCTGATAAGAACCCATGAACATGCTCAATGCGCTGATTTTCGTTAATAACGACTGGGATAGAAATTCAAACGTCTGCACCACCACACTACGAACCGCTGAAGAACGCAGCGCTTAAGTCAGTCTGTGTTCCCGTTTTGAGTTAGTATCACTAATTAGATAGTGAGACGAGATAATCCTTCATGAAACTCTTTCCGAACTGTTCCACACCGGCATTATGAAGTTACTTTCGTATACTTTATTCTTGGGTGAGTTTTATTCTCTCTAAATCACCTTAAGCCACCACGCGACAACTTCCTGAAAATTTTGAAGCACATATCTGCAAGTTCATTTCTTCTCTATGAAAAGCTATCAGGCTCAATTGCCATCAAAGCATTGCCCTGTGTATTAATTTCCTTGAATTTGAAAACTTGATGTCGTGTAGGTATGGCCAAAGACGCTATTTTTTCAACTTCTTCTCCATCTTCACCTGCAAGTTACAAAGGATCATGGCAGGTACTTGAAAAGTTGCAGTAGTTTCTCTATGTTTGAAGTAGTGTAGACGCTATAATCACTCGCTTATTTGGGTATGCAATCGGAGATTTTGTCGCGTGATCGCAGGACATCGAGTGAATCGTAGTGTCTGAAATTCATAACATAGCTGGACTGAGATCCGCTCAGGTCTCGGTTGCAAGCATTTCCCTTCTTTAAGCTTTAAATGCGGATGAAATACTTTTGCCTTCAGTGTACATGAGGAAGTCTTTAGAAGCTGATTTGGCATATAGAATGGTTAAATTCAGTGAGGTTAATATGGGGATGTGGCAGTATAGAATACCTTTTTTGTTGTAACATTTTGTTTTCACGGTTTCAGTGATTTCAACTGGTGTTTTATCAGTGATTCTTGCAGGATTCTTGTGCATTAGATAAATACTAAAATGAATACATAATTGTTTTATGTGGGTGCCTTATTAAAAATAAATGGTTCGAAGGTCGAAGGATTTAAGGAACAACAAGTAGCAGACACTTTCGATTTCAGTTTCCGTTGCAACCTACTTCACATCCATGCATTGTTTTGAATGCTCAGATTAAGCTCTATCTCACCTATACGGACAACACCGGAAAAGTGGTTAGTTAAAATGAGATATCTTCGGAAAACTTCCACCGGGAAATCAAATCTTTCCATTATATTTGAAAGCAGAATTATGCACCGGTAGAGCTCAGAAGAAACCGTAATTTATTTTATTTCCTTAAAATCTCTTATGACGATGATGTTAAAAGCTGTGTCGAGTTTGAAGTTTCTCTGCTGGCTAACCATCCATGTACACTTGTTACACACTTCCAGTGCGCCTCTTGACTAAGAGCATTAAATATAAAGGAGTCGTAGAAAATAGTGAGCAATTCGTCGTTCATCTTCGCCGTATGGGTTTTGTGAAAATCTAGCTCTGCTTATATATTAAGCCGAAGACCTAAATCTAGAACAGATCCACTTGTCCTTTGTTCATGAAACGAGATGCGTTATTCCTGAAAAGTGAAGGGCATCCATTCTTGGGTATAGCTTGCGAATTCATTGAAGGCTCACTTGAGATATAGAAGGTATTGTGCACCATTTTTGGAGTACCAATCAAAATTTTGAGAAAGATGTACACAATTGGTTAACCACTCAATCAAATATACTTTAAATGAACTAAGATCTGAAACTGAGTGTTGTTCGACCTTCACAAAAACAAACTGTAAATCGCAGTTAGGATATGAACTTCGGTTTTTCCAGGTTGATGCGTTGGTTGACGTTTTGCCGTCATCTACCGTCGACGAGGATCGGAGTTCATGTGGCACTGTGATGACCATTAGGAACGAAACGATTTTCAGTCAGATTCTTCACATCAATATTGACCACGTATGTACGGTTTTCTCATTCGCAACTCTTAATTTTTTCGCATCTATTTTTACTATTTTGAGCTGTAACAAGTTTTTCCTGTTTGTAGCGGTAATAAATTTTTCCCAGCAAATGTCTTCTCTTGGACCATTTTCTATTCGATGATTCGAAAGATTCTCCACAAACAACGAATACTTCCTCGACTCCCCAACGAGTCCCAGCAGTTCTTCGAGCTAGACAATAGGTTCCCCAATCAATGAACAATCAGACAAGAATCGTCCTACATGAAAAAGCACTGCAGGGTGAGGTTACTTCATTTGTGTGCCATTCCTCTCTAGTGGGTGCGGCTATAGTAACTATTCTTAAATAGTTCCTATTTCTATGTCACCTTATGTCTTCTACAACACCTGTCTAGCTGTAATCGTCATACATCTATTCTTGCATATTCTGTAAATCGTCTCTTAGGAAGCATTTCATGCAATTGTCTCGCAGGTGGCTGGAAAGGGAATCAGCAGCAGTCAGCTGAATGTACTTTTCAGCATCTGTCGTCCCAAAAAGTCTCCGAACAAACACCTGCACCCTTCCACATGTAGCCCTATCAAAGTGTGCTAGTAGAGAAACTTTTAGAACCTCTCTCTGGGCGCTGTCTTTAGTTCTCTCCGGCAAAGCTCCACCCACTACAGAAGTAATACAGGCAGCCCATAGGACTCGTCCTGAAGTGTTAGCCGCGCTCGTCCGGTTTTCTTCCGGTCCCTCAATTCCTCAGTGCTCCAACTCCAGTGTCCGCCTTGCTTCCTTCAAGAGTGTATCACTTGTTCCCATTTCAATCCCGCTCTTATCCACCCAGCTTACGTATCGTCAAATATCACACATTACTATTGTAACGTTATTGCTGCTATAAACTGTTATATCCAAACTCGAAGTTGTTCAAGACAGTTACGGAGAAAAGTCCCGCGTTGCGAATTCATACAAAGTTGAGCATTCCACGTACAGTTGGCGGACAAAAGACCAATCCGACCAACTCCCTAATCCACCGAACACAGCGGCTATGAAGACACACATCGCAGGAAACAACTGCTGCTGACTCTGGACTCGAATTACTGCAGTTCTAAAGAAGGCGAAACTAACAAACAGCTATCCATTCGACTGATATCGTGCACTGCTTGCCGCTCGATTATTTGCAGTTTTGAACTGTAAATTTTAAATATTGCATCTATCCCTAAGCATAGCTATGTTAATGAAGCTGAGTGTCATTGGCATGCACACATTTATTGCAACAAGGTGTAATTTTGTTTCTTCCGACAACCTAAAATTCTATAGCTCAGAAAGGGAAGAATTCTTCGAAGGTGTCCTTAGCATCGGCTTCATCGTTGAAGAACTATACATGGAAATAGTTGGCGAAACGATTCAAACTCTGACGAACGGATGATGAGAGCATCGTTGAGTACGTTAGATGAAGTAGAGCTACCAAACTCAATCCAATGAATTTTAGCAGCGTTAGCTGTTCAACGTTTAGTCAAGCGTTGCAAAGGGGTTATACCGTTTTCCGTCGACTAAGGATAGATACAACTACAGTGTTGCTGAGATACGAGCAAAACTCGGAAGCTTAGGTAAGCTTAGCTGCTAGATGAACATGCAGCAAAATTTAACGGATTTAAGCGATGTCGTGACAGTTCGCCCTTGCTGCGACAGTTTCGCCAAGGTTTAGAAAAGTCTAGTGGACGCTTCTACACATAGACCACCAAACGGTGTCCATAACCTAGTGATAAAAATCCTGCGTTGGAAAGTGTTTAGAATCATCGCTTCCGTCCAATCACCACGCTGAACGTTGGCGGTCGTCGTTCAGGACCGACTTTCTATGGCCCGTCATAACAGGAGAAAAAGAAATGGGTCGTTCCAGTTGCATAAAAAAACGAAAAGCAGGATTCAAAACGCTTGTTTTTTCTCATTTTCGGTCAATTCATGAGGTACCAAGTTATAGAGTTTCTCCAGCTTTCTACTTTCTTTTGACAGTGCCGAACGACTGCAGAATGGTCGACGATGAATTCTTTGGAAACTTTTCATGTAGTTGCACGAGGATCTATTTTGACGATCGTCGTCGTCATCCATTTATGATGGCCGACAACTATGCTGTCTTCGATCTTTAAAAGTTTCGTCTCCTTTGCAACACCTCTTGAACCAAAATCATTTCACCATCCGTTTGGGGACTTTTTCGGCCAAATACCCCGTCGTTGAAGTTGTCAATTGTCTCCGGTTTTTTGCGATCCATTCAGAACTCGAATAAGACAACCATTCGAATTTGGTTGTTGTCTAAAGCCATTTTGATAGTCTACATATATGAAATCAACGGCAAGTACTAAGTGAACAGCAAAAGGACCTAAATCAAGAAATACGCATTAAAATCATGCATTATATAAATATTTGTTTAAAAGCGCGCTTCTAAACCGATTTACAAGTTTTGATTTTTTCCTTGAAGTTTAAATTTCTAGCATTAAGATTACTGAACAATCGGTATTTTTGCAGACATGAATACAATGACACATCGTCGATATCTACGATTGCCTCATTTGCGTTAAGAATACTAAAAAATTGCTTTCGACCCCTCAACTTTTCGAAAGTTCGACTCTTACGCAAGTTCAAATTTAAAACAACACATCAGGAAGATCACTAGTCCATTTAGCTCAACGCCTCTTCTATGCGCTTGTGAGGTGCTTACGTGCTGAAGCCATTTGGGCAGTTAAAAAATATCGGCAGTTGTCGACAAGCCAGCTTCGCCGCGAATGTGTTAAGTTAATGTGGAATATTATCACCCACAATGAATATCAAAACTAAGCAAGGTAACAAATCTAAGAGAATTGGCGAAATGTTTAGTACTCCGGATGGAACGTTCGCTTCGCCTTCTCCAATGATAAACGACTCATTGCCGACGGATGGGTGCTCTACCAGGTGAATGCCACAGCAGACTATCCCGCGACAAGGAGTCTCTTTCCGAATCCGCCAGGTGTTTGACTTTTTTCACTCACTACGTTTCCACCTTTCTGGTTATTCTGCTTTTCTCTTGTGTTCTTTTCAATTAGATTTGCTTCGTGTTTCCAGCATCTTCCTTTTACTTCAAGAGAACTCAGAATCAGAAATTTACGTTCTTGCAGCTATGAATATGCCTAATGAACGCGAACCATGAGTAAAACGGACCGTTTCAAGCAGATTTTTCCGGATAAAATTCTCGTTTCATAAAATCTAGCGAGCAAATAGAAGCCCTGGAAGGACCCCTATTAGTGATGACTAGTTCTGCCATGCTACATGTTGGCGTTCCACAGCCAGGCAGTACATGAAATTTAGGCCAAAGGCCACTATGATTGCGTCGTTTTCTTGCTCATCAATCACGAGGTTTTTAAACAGCATCCATTTACTTCCATAGAGAAACACAATACAATACAACACTAGCTGACGTTTTGGCAGTATCGCCTTCTTCAGAACCTGGAAGGGTATACTGATATACAATCTACTAGGCCAAACGCTTCAATAACACTTACAAAAAGACGAAAGACTCTTTGGTAATTACATGATCAACAGCTTCTCAAAAAACTCACCACTTTTTACGTGACGTCCAATGAGGAAGTTTAGAACAGCTGATTATAGTCGCATGTGGTTGACGACTGCACCATCCCACATCAAAAATCGATGCCAACGTATGGGGTCAGGTCGCGTATGACCTCCGGGCATTCATCCCTGCTATTCATTGTAGGGTTTTTGGCATTTATCCAAAAAGCCTCAAGGAGTTTTCGCTCTGGTGTTTTGGACTCCTGTGCAAGGATATTGACTTTTACTTCAAAATCGTCTCCGCTATGCTTTTGTGTCCTATGTGTGCCTAGTGGGGTGCTTCGTCCTAGTTTTCGTTTGCCATCTAGGTGTTCTTTTATACGGATACACAAAGCTCTGCTCGTTTCGCCAATATATTCATCTCTGCAATTATTACAAGAGATCAGGTATATCGTACCTGAACTCATGCAATCACCGTCCCTGCCGTAAGGGCAAATTGCGCAATTTGTTGTTTCACACAGACGGTCATACAGGCGGTTACGAACTAATTGACGACGTAGAGTAGCCTGTGGTATTTCAACGCCCTTCTTAAGCATCGCTGTATAGCTGCGCTTACTTCATCGCTTATAAAAGGCAACATAAACGGGATTTTGTTTTGGNCGTTTCGCCAATATATTCATCTCTGCAATTATTACAAGAGATCAGGTATATCGTACCTGAACTCATGCAATCACCGTCCCTGCCGTAAGGGCAAATTGCGCAATTTGTTGTTTCACACAGACGGTCATACAGGCGGTTACGAACTAATTGACGACGTAGAGTAGCCTGTGGTATTTCAACGCCCTTCTTAAGCATCGCTGTATAGCTGCGCTTACTTCATCGCTTATAAAAGGCAACATGAACGGGACTTTCTTTTGGCCAAGTGTTTCGCGTGGGCGCGTCGTTCTCCTTGTAAACTTATCTCGTGGGGTTACTATTTCGTAGCCATTGGAGATGGCTATTTGCCGAGCCAAATCGCGCGATGCTTCCCTTAGTTCCCTGGTAGTGCACACAGAGGTGGCTGTTCGAAACATGTTTCTCACAATCGCCCTTTTTGTGTGTGAAGAGTGGGAAGAAAGGAAATGAACAAGGATGTTCTTGTTACTTGGCTTTTGGTACCCCTTTGTCAAGTAACCGATACTTGATAGGTTTATTTGGACGTTACGCCCTTACGGCAGGGACGGTGATTGCGTGAGTTCAGGTACGATATACCTGATCTCGTGTAATAATTGCAGAGACGAATATATTGGCGAAACGGGCAGACCTTTGTGTATCCGTATAAAAGGACACCTAGATGGCAAACGAAAACTAAGACGAAGCACCCCACTAGGCGCGCATAGGATACAAAAGCATAGCGGAGACGATTTTGAAGTAAAAGTGAATATCCTTGCACAGGAGTCCAAAACACCAGCGCGAAAACTTCTTGAGGCTTTTTGGATAAATGCCAAAAACCCTACAATGAATAGCAGGGAGGAATGCCCGGAGGTCATACGCGACCTGATCCCGCATGTTCGCATCAATTTCTGATGTGGGATGGTGCAGTCGTCAACCACATGCGACTATAATCTATAATCAGCTGTTCTAAACTTCCTCATTGGAAGTCACGAAAAAGCGGTGGGTTTTTTCGAGAAGTTGTTGATCATGTAATTACAAAAGAGTTCTTCGTCTTTTTGTAAGTGTCATTGAAGCGTTTGGCCTATTAGATTGTATATCAGCATACCCTTCCAGGCTCTGAAGAGGCGATACTGCCGAAACGTCAGCTGGTGTTGTATTGTATTGTGTTTCTCTATGGAGGTAAATGTATGCTGTTTAAAAACCTCGCGATTACTGAACAAGAAAACGACGCATTCATATTCCAATGCCGAGGTTAATAGAAAGTCGATCCTGGGAACTATGATTATTTGCTCTTTGTTGTAGACACCCTTTACAACTATTTTCAACCGATTAATCTGGAGAAGCCACCGAAACTGCTCGACGCAGTTTCCGCCCATTTGAACAAATCATTCTACTGCACGTCAGCGCAGAGGTTTTGGATTAATAGTGACACCAAACAAGGCCCTTTAGCTTCGTGAGTATCTTCTCATTCTAGGGCTTCGATATTTCTCCTCTTGAAATAGAGTGAAATTGATCAGATTTATATTCAGATTCAAAATTTCCTATCTTCAAGTGGAATCCTTCAAAAAGACCGTTGCGAAGAGCTCTAATATATTCGATCCAAGTGAGTTGAGCTAAATTTTGGCGTTAAAAGTTCAGTTCAAGTCTTATTTTATTCACCAAATCGAATTCAAAGTGAACAAATATCATCGGTATCGCTCGATCTCCAGCTAGACGCTTGTTGCAAACACTCTTGTTCCATAGTTGCGCAAGTTCAGTGGGATTGCTAAGAGCGTCAGAGTTATTTGAAGGTTCTTCATAGGCAATTCCGGCCACCATGTGTTCATGTGTTCCTTATTTGTAGAGTTCTATAAGTGATCGTGCCACGGAGCATTTGCTAAATTGACAACATACTTTATGGCATCCCGACTTACGTCAGATAAGGCGTTGAAATGCTCCGTCGAGGTGCTATCGCTTTCTCGAACGTGTCTTAGTAGCCTGATAGTCACGCCCCTTCAGATCACTGTGACTCTGGTATTAATGATTTTTTAAGCTTAACAATGATAACAAACAAATATCACACTAATAGAAAATGGCAAAACTTCATAACTTTAAGCAACAACGAAGCTTTATGTCCAAATCCTTAGATTACAGATTCACTCATTGTCATGAATGAATGTAATGGAAAAAACAAGGATAATCTAGGCAGTGGAAATAAAAGCACCACTTTAGGTGAAGTCTGTCCATATGATCAGCGAATTATCGACCTGGTGCCTGTTGTCGTTGGCAGTTGCTTAGCTGGTCTTAATGTCATTGCACTAGTTACATATTTGGTTTGTCTTTGTCTTCTCAAATCATGCAATCAGCTTTTTATTTATTCATTACACGACTTATCCTTCACATCTACTCTGCCAATCGCAACACTTCAATCGAACTCGCACGCAACATCAATCGTAATGGATTCGTTACCCAGCATCCACAGTCCACAAAAATTTTCCAATTTTTTTCCTGTGGATTTAGCTGCTCATTGACGATTTTTCCCTTTTTGTCACGAATGTCGTTAAATGCTGGCCGGGTTGACTCTCCTTGGAATCATAAGATAGCTGTGTTTGGGCATTCCCATATCGACTACAAGGAGTAAGTTCATCCCAGACAAGTCTGGTGCCGGTTTCTCGACCTCGCTGGGATGAGAGGCCTGGTTGGCACTAAGCGGGTCGAACTATGGTCTATATAGATTAGTCCGTCCGTGTAATGGCGGGGATTACTACCACAGCACTACCCACTCCCAGTCATACAACAGAACAACTACATGCATCTTCACTATTTTGAATTTTGATATGGCTAGAACCACTTCTCATTCAGTGCTTCAGCCTTCAGATCTATCGATGGCATGCCAATCCCAATGCTCTGCATCTTACTAAAGCACAACCCTACTCGTCCAATGAGGTCCAAAGCGTGTTACCTGTAGACCTCGACGTTTCAACGAACTCCAGACCTCAAACGGATTCATGCTACCAGTGAGAAGTTTATTTCTTCAAAACAGGGATTTCCTTACAACAAAATGTTCAGTCGAAGAATAAACCGAGACAAAATTAAAAAAAAAAAATCATGTAAAGAAGTAACTTCATTCACTCATTGCAATCGGTTACTCAGATGCTAACGTGGCAAACACCAACATCCTTTTAGAGCATCATTCTGCTTTGCTTGATAAAATCTTGCTTGTTCATTTGCAGCTGCTTGAACAACACTGAAGTAACTTTGATACGTTTATTATATAACGGTCGACATGCGCCGATTTGAATAGGTGTCATGGGGTAAAGTGGACGATTAGTATTGACTTCTCACTGCTTTGTTGAACTGCACTGAGCTTTCCTCGAGCACTTTCTTTATTCGGGCGAGTGTCCAAGATAAGTACTGTGCAATACTTGTCCGAAGACAGTTGAGCTTCACAACTCTGAACAAACACATATCTCAGCTCGTAGTGAAATTTAAAATAAAAACCGATCGAATACGAAAATAATAGCATAGAGGATAAGAATTCCCGCATTCTATAACGGCAACTTTCTGGCTCACATGTTACGGCATCAACCGAAGTCCTTCTGTTGCCTTTCTGTTATCCAGTTTTCTTAGCCTAAATATGCTAAGGCGGCGCATGTGGTACAGATGGTCGGAGGTGCCCTACAATATACACATTAGATCCCCGCGCCCTAGGTCCAGCAAGCGTTCCATCACTCCGGGGTCGGCAAATTGGTACCAAACTTGTCTGGGAGGATAGCAGAACTGGCCCGATGCATCGGTTGGCCACCGCGAGTCGTAAAGGTCGGATATGCATTCAATCATCTCCAACGGTGCTTAATGAAGTCGAATGCATGGCGCATCCATCAGGAATTAATCAACGCCGAGAACTCTATCCTTCTTTTTAACTGTGCTAACGACTTCATCTGATCTTCGACTCTGATTTTTGTGGATGGTTACCCTAAAACATTACGGCATGAACGTGCGTGTAGAGCATTACCACACGAGAGAACTCTGTTACTCTTCTGATAACATAAATTTGGCTGCATTTCAACAACAAACTGTTTACAAATCCACTTTACAACCACAAATCTGAATAAACCACATTCGTTATTGTGAGATGAAAGCGAAGCATCAACTTTTTTTTTTACAAACTCGATCTTCGAAACATGCAGAAGATTGTAACCTTTAAGAAATACATTATTTGAAAAAACCCGTGGTTCGGAAGGTTTAACTGATGAAAGCAAAAAGCACACAGAAAAAATTCTTGCAAATTACAGAAATCATTGCTCCCAACAACGAAGTGAATTCACTAAACACCAATATAAGCATTTCGCTATATCTATTACTGGGAAAATACGTACAGTGGCTACAAAAATAAATTCAAAAAAAATGAAAATTAAAATTGAAAAATTTGAAACAATAAAAACGTAGAGGAGGAGCGAAACATCATCTAATACAAATTCCACTCCAAATCCTAACAAGTTCACAGCTAAAGAGGTACCTGATGAATTTTCTTATTCATCAAACGGATTTGTACTTATTGCGAAAGGATTTTTCGTATCATCGTAGGTTCGGGATTTTACTTTTGTAGATTTTGTGATAGACGGTCGTTTAACTGTTGAATCCGATCTGGTGCTCGCTGTGTCAGAGAATGGATTCAAACTATCGTCACTGTCAAATGGATTTCTTCCTATCGTCTTCGAATCCATTGATGTAGTCGGACTCTAAGTAGCTAGAAAATCAAAGTCTACTATGGCCGCGTTTGAAAGGTAAATAATGCGAAGATGCCATTAAAAAAATAATTGCCAAATTATTATAAAAATTCTGTATCTTACAATAAAAAACAGATTTCTGCAAATATGGAGTGTGGTTTACATATTTAGGACAAGATAGCAGTACTTGTATAGAGATAGCACATAAGACTGAATACCTTCTTGTGAGATGTTTTCCTGGGAGGATCAAACAAGCCATTACGCAAGTACTTTGATACAACATCCATCCCACAGCTAGACGAATTCAGCTGGAACAGGAATTATCAAATATCTTTAAAGTACATTGAGCCGTCAAAATAAATGCAATGACACGCATGTGAAGAAAACTTTTAAAAATTCAACTGCAATTTGCATAATTCATTGTTTTCTTGAACAGCAGACACGAGGTTGTTATTCAAATATTTATTAACAATAAGTTAGGCTTCGGCGGATTTCGGCTTCTTCAGAGCCTCCCGGGATCAACTTGACTGCAATATGGTCAGCCAAATACCTCCATATCAACAACAGGAAAACCATGAATCCTAAATTTCAACGGGATAGAAGGAACAGCAGCTTCTTCATACACTATTTTATACGAGTCTTTGATGGAGTAATCCACGTAGAAACAACCGCACAGAGCTCACATGGATAGGTAATGTGCTCCTTTCACAATAAAATATCAGCCTGAAATACTTTGGAGACAACACGTAATAACGATGCGTCCCTGCAGCTCATTCTTGGATCCTTTGAATTTATCGAAAATGCTTCGAGTGTTTCGCGGTCTGAAGTTTTCGATTCCGGTGTGAGGATGGTAACTGCTATCCTTGCGTCCTGTGGCACCCAGTGGAGTGCTTGGTTTAACTTTGGTCTATCCATTTCGCCATTGTACTCGTAGGCTTCACAAAAGATCAGACACAGCGTAGCCAAAAACTCTTGTAATCAGCGCTTCTACAGTTAGGGCACCTGAAGAAGATGAAATCCGTCGAGACGTCACGTCAGCAACCGTTAGCAAATACTATAATAGCAGCCTCGTGGGTGTTTATCATGAAAATAGCGAACTATTGATCAACTCCAAAGTTACTAAACGGTCTGCGTTCGGTATTACTGCAATTTACATACTTCTTTGAGGAACTTCTGGTAAGCCACCTTGTCATCTATGTTTTCTTTCGGAGTTTCCCTGAAAAGAGAAATCATTCCGTCTTCGACCATTCATAGGTTTTCTCACCGTAGATAGAAACAGAGAAACAATTTGGTTAATAAGCTGCACTTTTTAATTTTTTTTTAAACTTTTTAATGTTACAGCCTCGCTTAGTGCGAAGTTGTTTAGTCGATACGATTATTCGAAATCTGTACTTACAAGATCTTAAACTAGCCGCGAAAAAAGACAAATGGATTTATGACGTAATGAGCGGTGAAAAAACGTTCTCCACTCCACGCCAGATAACAAAATCGTGCTTTGCTGTGATTGCAGAAGAGGTGAGTTTCAGAAAAGAGTCAATTATAAACCTGTCGGAAGAACTACGTCGCATTAATTCCTTAAGCATGTCTGTGTTTCTATCATTATCAGCTTCTTGGCATATATTTCATCTGGAACTAGGATTTCAGGATGAAACCTCATGCAGCGGTAGAACAACCTTATAGCGATTATTAAAAATACTCCCAATGAAGCCGCGCCTTTAAATGCAGTCTGATGCTAACGATTACATGACTATTAGTTAACACCTATACGTATTGACTGAAATATCAACTGCTCATCCTAATACCGATTTGACTAATAGAACCAATAACCAACTAATACACCTAATAATAAGTATTGATCGCATTCCGGTTTGTATAACGTCTGAGAGGTAAAGTGTGAAGTAAGGAACCAAGATAATGTTTTTTTACCTGGAAGTTGGTGGAGTGCATGCAGGGCACACGTCCGGCTTTTCACTATACGACTCGAAACAATGCACATGGTAGCTGTGTCGGCAAAGAAAGTGCACCGCCGGCAGGTGTAATGCTGTATCGCATGCGCTGCACTTACTCACCTGCAGTACCTGCACACTGAAACTCGCTTATTTCAATCTATCCGATGTGTTTATCTGTATTTGTGTATACGAGCTCATACATGTTGAGGACATTTAGTTGACGCTCATGTTATCCTTCTTTATAGACAGTGTTACAGAATCATGGGACTTCATAATTACACTATGCACTCGAGTACATCAAATACAATATAAAATGACTTCCAGCGGCTTACCGATGTATCAAGTACGTGCTCCTACGCTTCTAGACAAGTTTAGCACCAATTTTCCTACCGCGGAAGGATGGAAGGCTTGATGAGCCCTGAATACGCGAGAAAACCGAAGGGCACGCGTGTCTTATACAGCCCTTTTAATCACTAAGATATAAGCGCCCATCTGAGTGTCTCACATCACTGTTTATATGTGACGATGACTCCAGAACATTTAGTAGTAATTGTGTTGCTGTATGTAGTTAATGAGTTCGAGATCACCTTAAACTCAGAGTTCAATTCGAACTAAAAGCTTTCCATACCCTGGAGCGCTTTAAACACACGAGAATAGACGTGTAACGTAGGAAAACAAAGCAAAGATTTAAAATTGGGTAAAAACTGTCAGGTGCTTAACGTTAGCATAAAGATAAAAACCAAACAGAGATAAACAGTATTCTTCACAACTTTGCTTACACCAGTTGAATTCAGAGTGAAAAAAAGCCAAGGTAAAATTGTATTCAAATTTTACTAACAATGGTTGCTTTAATATATTAACAAAGGGAGTCAAGACATATTCAGACCACTATAACTTCCTTTCTCATGTAGATAATATAAAAATGAAGCGTCGATGTTACCCCAGTGATTAGAAGCGCGTCAATCATTCGATTTATAAAGCATTACTGAGGTGATGTAACGCATAATTGCTACATGCTATGGCTTGCAGGAGGAGACCGATGCATTAAATTCGCGCTTTTATTATCCCAGACAAATGTGACACCATCATGGCGACGACCCAGGAAAAATTGCGGAGTTACTAAGCAGGATGCGTGAACTCATGACCAAGCATGTATTGCAAGGGATGTCTAACCACTGTGCTACATGTGATATGTCATAAGAAGGGAAAATATAAAACGAACTTATATTTGAGCGACTCGATTTGTTTATCGATTTCATCCATCATCTGCACATCTTCAGAAATCGCTTTCCGATCGGATTCAATCTACAATTAAATACATTCGCGTAGAATGCCAGAGTAAAATCAGTCCTCCATTTGCATTTCTAGTTTCGTTACCTGCTTTCCTTGAGAATCTAACCATTTGATAACGTATTCCTTAACTGCTCCAACTTTCAGTGTATTGCTGCGAGAGAGTATTTCCAAAACCACTAATGGATGCAAACTATCACCGGCTCCGATTCTAGGAACAATAATAATAATAGTACTGAAATAATTTTGACTCATTATTTGGATTATTACAGTCTTAGGACGATTAATCGTAAGATTCACTTCCAACATAGAAATTGCTGCCACCCATAAAGAAATTACTGGGCAACATAGAAAAACCCCTCGATTCCTCTACCTAGCACGTCTTTCTCGAAATCTTAGGGAAAACCACGCTTGGTCACCATTCAGAATGCTAAGAAACAAGTTAGTACTTGACTTAAAAAGCAAAGACACATTCATGCCAAGCCATGGAGACTGCTTCCGACTATTTACATACAATGCAACTCTTCAGTTCATGTCCTTCTAAATGCCGCAGATCGCTTCAAATACGATATGATCACACCTCGAGAAAACAGTAGCAAGGGTGACATTGCTTTCCGGATGCATGATGGAAACTTCGTCATCATTAATAAGGAACTTACATCGCTCATCAATAGTGACGTTGGTATTGCCGCACACCCATCCGTTAGCACACATGTTAGTTCTAAAGATATTCTGTTTCCCTGCCATGTCGTTTTATGCCTCGCACTACCTATTCGCAAGAAAATCAGTATCTATAACCCCTGCGCACTAACGACGGCTGCTGAATTCAAGGAACTCGGCACATTTACGGAGATCTCGAGGAACCTATCCACAACGAGTACGGAAGTGAAATGGGCATAACTTCAATGACGACTCTCCATGGGTCGTTTCCGTTGCGGAATTTGCTTTTTTGAGAAGAAAAACTATCACCGATGGACGTGCAAATGCACATACGTACACAAAGGTACGGTACGTCTCTTGCTGAAATCGACTACACCCTTCTATGAGCAGGCGAACATCATCTCCACGCTGTTTCAACAAAAAAAAAGAAAAAAATAAATAAATAAACAAAAAATAAATAAAGATAAAACAAATATAAATAACAAAAATAAAAATAAACATCATTATCAACCTCGTGTAAGCTCATCAAAGAAAGAATACATAAAAAAAGACTTTATATCTACAAATAAAACGAAAACCAAATCAGTAAAATTCGCTCACTATCCTTCTGCACCAAAAGAGCAACAGCGATGACCTTCGTGACCATCATTCGATCAGCTTTTTCAGCATGATCTACTATCTTTTGACAAACACTATCCTAATTCACACATGTCTTCAGTCGTGGAAATCTGTGGGGAACATCATCAGTCCCTAGTTTCAACCGTCACTGACTACGAGTAAGCATTTAACTGTGCAGAAGGAAAGGTCACCTTGTCCACCTTAGTTCATCGAAGCATAGACGTGCCCTATGTAAAAGCGCTTATTGACCACGATAGTCCTTGCACAACAACAATAAAGCGTTTTCACAGACTAGCTGTTAGTCTGAATGCTAATGAAATACGACAAGGCATACGATATCGCCAATGAAGTTACTCGACTGAAACAACAACGGGATACGTTTTGATGGATGATTCCTCTCCAAGCACCGGTGTGAAGAATACGCCATCCTCTTTTCGACCAGTAAAAGACAACTACATTTGCTAAGCTCAATGAAATAGGGATAAACTGGATAACGAACAAATCTGTAGAAAACTCAATTCATGAAGAACATCTGATGTAAAAGAAATTCGATTACCAACTGAGGAAAATACATCTTACGTACATTCGGGGCCTCTAATGAATTTGGATAATGACTTAATAAAAAAAAAAACTCGGTAGAAAACTACGAACAACATGAGTTGCTCTAAGGCCTTCGAGCTATCAGCTAGCCGATCTGCACCTGTGTGCCCAGTTATTTGATGCAACAGTTTTTCCAGCTCTGTTCTATATATCAGAAAGATGGCCCGATACTTCAGCAATATCTAAGAAGCTACGCACAATACACAGGGTACTTGAGCAATATCTCTTGAAGACGAATCAGAACAGTCAATATTAAGCCGGTTTTCTTAGTTTAAATCTTTAAAGAATATGCAGTCCTCAAGAATCGGGAGAGTGCGCTTCATAAAATAAACATCGACAGCCTGGACATGCAGTGAGAAGACAGGCCAATAGATGGACGAAAAGAACAATAGCGGGGATCACGAGAAAATCAAAACGACCTCAAGGAGGATCACAAAGAAGATCGTCCGATGTGTTTGTTACACGGGTAAATCAGCTATACTGAAAGCTGTAATCAACTTTGAGATCCTTATTACAGTGAATACAACTATCCCCACGGATGACAGTTGAACAACGAAAAGATGGAAGAAGACCTGCAACCTTCATAAAAAGTGAAGACGGATCACCTAAGTAAGCAATACTATTTTAAATAATACAGCAGCACTGAAACAACTTGGATCAAGGTGTTAAAATAGGAAAAATGGAATGTTCGCGATTTCATAGAGCATTCATGATTGAAATGAACCGCACCACAACTGTGGATCACATATGATTCATTTTCTTCCTTGCTATTTATTTGCTGCATAGAATTGCTTCGCTAAACTTTTACATACAATCGACAACTTATCTAAGTGACCACTGAGCCATATGCAGAAACTGCTGAGTCTACGTAAAAAGTGTGCAACGTCGAGATGGTTGCACACATAGAAAAGTTACTTGATAAACACGATTAAAAGATGCATTGTGAAACTACATGGACGAAAATGCATGTTTTAAAATCTGAACTCCTAAATCACCTGTGAAACTTGTTTCATTTACCATCCTGTTTATGTTCGCGTGACTCCAGTGGGTGGCATTGAATCCTTCATTTCTCCCTGTTACGTGCAAAACTACCCAAGAGGATTCTGTTCGCACTAGGGACTCATTGACTCCCTGAATCTGACCATCGGGTCGACGGTCTTCCTGTAGTACGTTTCACACCCCGAAAACTCCAGTCGCTAACGGCTTCTATCCACCGGTTGTCATTCATATGCACTACATGTCCAGCCCACTTTATCTTCGACCGTTTGGCGTAAAGAACGGCATCTTTGATTTTTAATTGTTGATCAAGGTCGGAGCTTCGGATCCCTTCCCTTATTTGCGTGACACGGAATACCACTAGCATCGTCCTTTTTCATCCTGCTTTCGTAGGAATCAGGTTTCGGACGTATACGTTAAGATAGGAAGAATCGTGGAGTTGAAAAGGTGTGCACAAAGTCGGGTGTTCTTTGTTCTCTTCACTACATCCTCGATGCTCCTGAAAGTTCCCCATGCCGCTTGCTCCCTCCTCCTCCACTCTGTTTTTAAATTGTTCATCATGTTGATTCCCTGACCTAGACAGACGTCACTACAGCATTTGGAGAAATTTATTTCAGAGAGCATGAATGGAGCACATGAAATCAATCCGTCCCTAATGACCATTTGTGAGGTTTACTCTAAAAGTTCTGTGCAATAAAATAGACAATTAGAACGAAAGTAGAGTGAGAAGCATACACACCGGTCGGTAACGTTTACTAGGAATCAATGCGCATTGTCCGATCAGCATTCAAACACTTAATTTATTCCTAAGCTCAATTCTAAATACGATTTTAGAGTGCGTTTAGTTTAAAAACGCAGAGAAACAGGCATCGATAAATGGAAAAACTAAAAAAACCTACTCTTGTAACATTTCCTGGACCATATTCTCGTCAAAAGGACCGTCTATTTTTGAGATATAAACTAGTACACCAAGCCA